CTGATGGCAATTACCCCTCCCATTTGTTCTGGCTTTCTTGCTGTATCCAACGCGTCAAGAGGTATGAACGGAGGGGCAAGCGATTGCTCGAGCCTTACATAGCTTTGCTCTTGCTCTTCGCGAGATCCAAATTATATTTAAGCCTAAAGGTCCCGTGGCTTTCAGTCTAGCCACGCTGTCAAACTTCCATAACTTCGTTAAGATCACGCGCATAAAGTTACACTACTAAAGATGGTTGACGTCGATGCCATGAACTCGGAACTGGATCAGATCTCTGACCGATACCAGTCTCTGTTTCGTCGCTTGAATAGCGAATCCCCACGGGATGTGCAAACCGTTGCTTTGTCTCTGAGTATTGCATTGTCGCAGCTATACCAGCTGGCAATTTTTGTGAGAGGAGACTATAACCAGAGAGCGTTCGATGTGTCGCCCGAAAGAGACTCACTGGTGGCTAAAGTCAAGGAGGCGTTCGAGCAGTTGGCTCACGCTTCAACGACAGCCCTGGAGCATGTGTCGACGCTTCAATCAGAGGTATGGCTACGTCCAAGGGGCTAAAAAACCAGATTCGCTGACAAAACGGACCTAGAATGTCGACCTCTTGTCCTCAAAGATGCACGTATTCCAAGAACGCGTCAAAGCAGCGCATGGGGAGACAATGGCAAAGGTTGCTGGTTACAAGGATGCGGTAAGTGAGGCCAGTAAGGCAGTGGAGAAGGAAGAGAATGCAGTTAGGGAAGCCAGGAGTAGTCTGGAAACACTGGTGGAGAGGCTCGACGACGCTCGGAAAGCTGGCGATGTGGTTGACGGTGTGGTCAGTATATCTTCTCGTATGATCACGCCCGGTCCTTTAGATCAGGAATTAATATCTTGACCAGGTCAGCGCCATAATCCCCATCTGGGGGATAATTGGGCTCATCGACCATACAAAGTCTCCCGGCAGCGTCATTCTGGAAGGCCAGATTGGCGCTGCAAGACAAGCGGTCGATAGCGCTGAACATACCCTTGATTCCGCGCACCGAAACGCTCAGAAATCCCTAGATCTCCTGAACGGGGAGCAGCTCAAGTTAGATCAGCAAAGTGCCATCCTTGAGAGACTGGGACCCCTCCAAAGCGCTATCCAGTCCGCCATTACGAAAGCGCAGGAACTAGAGAAAGGTTTAATTCAGATGAAGGACAGCACTACCGAGATGGTCCGTCGAATGAACAAGCTTAGCGGCCGAGCGGAGAATGGCGCGGAGCTCTCAATCATGAAGGAGGAGTTTGTGAGCGGCATTTTGAATGTTGTGGAGCTCGCCATCGTGGAGCCCAATACAGCCAAACAGATTAAAATGATCCTGGCTGAATTGCGCAGTTCGTGGGGTCCTTCTCCAATGCCTCCAGCGATCCAGTCCCGGCTGGATGAACTCGATGGCAAGGCGGCGAAGATTGCTGGTTGACATTGGGTTTCTTGTCTGTACCCCAAGCAAGGCGCATTGCTGTCTCCCATCAGGATGTTTGGTAGTTTGTATTTACCAGTGTGGCATCGACGTGAACAGTACCTTTTCGTCCAATCTATCATCTGGTCACCTGCACAACCTAGATCTGGAAGTACGCAGCGGGGATGGGACAGGGGTAGGAGCGCTCTCTGTGGTCTGAAGAGCATTGTAGACCATGCAAATCCATAAATATACTGAGCTTGGTGCAGGAGGCTACCCTTGAACTATGCCCTTTTCACGCACTAGAGTTTGTATTTTATGCACTATCTACGTCATAATACTTAGTGTTAGTAACTTATTGTTGAGAGTGGTGCATGAATTAGCTTCTTTATTTATGTTTTAACTGTCTTAAGTTTTTGGCAAGCTCATAGTTCCATTGTCCATTCTTTCCAACCGATATCATTCCTACTGAATTCCTAGCATTACTAGGTCTGATGTACCCTCGTTTCAGTATCAGCACCTACAACTATTCCGGACTGGCCGAGGAATCGAAAAGAATTGATGCAAAGCTGGTTTCTGTTGGCCAACCGATGGGTGATCGACAAAATACGGGATTCAACGGAAAATACAACTTGTTTGGACAATCGGTTATACAGCGTGAGATTGCAGTAACATCAGAATGGAACTACCTTTTCGAAATCAATGTAGAAAACCGTGCTTTGGCTTTCCTGGACTGATGAGTTCTAGCTGGATGTCACGCGGCTTCGGTCTTATGCAGACTCCAGTGGCAATCACAGACGCCACACTGACGTTTGCTTGATACACCATGAACTGCAGCCCTGAAGCACAGGTCAGCTCTGTCCTGTTGCACAACATCTAGACACCATCAAGCAATCCATCTGCAGGAGAGCACAGCAAGTGGATAGGTTCCAGCAGCAGTCAAATCAAGCGAACGTAGTCGTTTTTTAACTTTGGGATGTGGACCAGCAAAACTTGCTAGCACCCAGACTGTCTATGACGTCCTGCTATGGATTATCCAATTGCAACCACCTGTAACGCGCTGTACTCCAAATATCCCTGACCCCGTTCATGTTTACCATTTTAAGATAGGTCATTTCTGATATGCCCCACGTGCAGGGGGTTAGGCGACCAGCGCTGCAAGCCTTTTCGTACTTCTCTTAGCTCGTAGCTTTCGGACCGGTCCGTCATTCCCGCACTCGAAATTTACCTATCTATCTGTAGTGTTCCGGTCTTGTGTATACATGGGGCAGTAATACCAAACTAACTGTCCGTGGTTGTTAGTTTTACCACTAATACAATCAAGGTGCCATGAAGATAACACAAGAAAGCAAAGCTTGACGAGCTGTATACCCTTAAGTAAAGAAAAATATAAGCACCCATCTTTTATTGAAGCCTCGGTTATCATGGCTGGGGATTATAAGTTTATACTTCATAGTAAAGGGATTCTATCCATTATTCGGCGGGCGATATATCTGACTTGTGGCAGGGTTCAGAATATTCTTTTTCACTCCCGCGAGGAAATTAGGAATGAAAGTAGGAAGACCACAAAATCCTGTGGCCATCGTGCTGTGCATAGCAAACTGTCATTAACACGTACTTCATGAGTACATCCCTGCCATATTTGTGGATGCGATGTGGAGTAGTGTGGTAAGGCGTCTGCAAGTACCTGAATATTGTAGATTCTACGGAGGATATAGATCGCAGGCGGCGTAGTAGGATGCATAGTCAACCTTGGCGGACGTGAGATCGAACCCAATGTCAATCTCCTCAATATCGAGTTCTCGCGAACCCTTCATTGTTACTAGAATGGGGTGGTTATTCCCTTACGGACTAGTCCTACAACATAAACTGAGATATCCCTACTCCGCACCCTGTGAACAACCTTTCGGTACTAAGTGGCACTCATACAGAATAGCCGGGACCAGATCGACAAAGCGGGGGCTGGGAACTCGAAGACCTAGTTGCTTCTTTCTAGAAGTACACTATGCCTAAATTCGCCATAATTTCACTAATGCAAACAGGCAGAGCGCCAATAGCAGCCATAGTGGGCTCATGTCTCTCGCCTCTGCTTGCCAGGTCAGGGTCATTGCAGAATGTACATGCACATGTGTCCATAGATGCGCATTGACATAACTGTAGGCGAATCATATCATCTAGCAGAATCCAGACCTTTGACCCTTGGCGGTGACCAAATAACCTGCATATTTAGTAGCTGCCGTGGCTGCCTGAGCAATCAAACACCCCATGTGTGGGCGTATGGCATGGCTAACAGACAGACTTGGGCTATTAGTGGGAACAGTCTCTGAAACTGGTCGTAGTGATTGACAGCATCGTGCTGTTGTCGGGACAAGCCATTCCCACGCCATACCTACCTTAATGCCCATTTAATTGAGTTATATATTGTGTGGTGACTGCAGTTGTCCCCTGCAGGGGAGATGAGGTGTGGGGGTGGTGGCATTATTCCGCGTATAATAGGATATATAGATCCACCTTCAGCTTTGGTTTTCAACTCTGCGGCATACCATGTTGATTCGAAAAACTTAAATGGCGCGTCTTTATTGGCTATACAGACAGAGATTTACAGTATATTTATCAGGTAGGCCATATTGACTCTTCAGCTTGTGGTGCTTGCATGCTGTTCCTCTGATATTCGAGTTTAGCTTCTTTAGCTTCTTCAGCTGAAAACGAAGTCGATATGGATACGCCATGGTCTGATGGCAGAGTATTTCAGCTGAATATATCGGGAATTTCTTTATTGCTCCATATCATTATATTTGATTACGTATACACAATTTGTAATGTCGGAATGCATGGTTTTTGAGCATTGCAAATAGAAGTCTGTAACTTACCACAACATATTCGATTGAGTCACATCCATTTGGTGGGTCCTTCATGTTTGCGCGAGAATACGCAGCTGTTTCATTGCAGAGCAAGCATCTCAGCTGCATCATCCGAGGAAGCAGCGAGTCGCTGGCTGCCCAGACAGGCCATTGAATAATCGTGTGCGCAACGCTGGCTGAGAATCTCGACGCTATTTGCGGACAGGAGCCAGACAAGGGGCTGTTCGAGAATACAGCAACCAGCGGCCAGCAGCCAGCTATTCCGTGCGGTTTTACCTCCGATACTAAGCCTTGGCTTGAGCATGATTACTCATCTCCAGAATACCCTGATGCAGCCTGACGCAGTCACACGGGCGATCAAAAGGTTTTTGTTATTCGAGACTACTCCTCGATGAAGATCCACCGGTCTGGCTTTGGACGGGAAGCATCGGCAGAGTTTGACCATCCCATGGTGGAGATATACGTGGACAATCTGGATAACGTATTTACTAGTCCCTTTTCAGCTCGGTCATCAACGCCATTTGTCCTACTTTGCACATGGACTACATCAGGGGCAGGCCGGAGGGAGAATTGTGCGCGAAGAGATGGAAAACATTCTCCCCAAGGTTAATCAACAGGCACAGACCTAAAAGGTATATGCTTTATTTGCTTAAATTTTTTTTTTTTTTTTAAAAAAAAATAAATAAAGAAAGAAAGAAAAGGAGAAAGAAAATAAAATAAAGAACTATGGTTTACAAGCAACACAGCTTGTGCCCTTCCAGTTGTCTGTTTCTTCCAGTGCAGCAGCAACCACGCTGACAATCTGCTCGCTATCCTCCAGCCCAACACTGAGCCGGATAATATGCTGTGGCACGCCATATTTCGGAACCTTGTCCCGCTGCCAGTAATTTGCCAATTGCACATAAGGGATAGCCAAGGTAAAGTTTGTGCCAAAGCTCGAGCCCTTGCACACATTCAGAACATTGTAAAAGTATTCTGCCCGTATGGGATCATGGAAGATGATACTAAGAACATTCCCATAACCGCCATCTTTGCGCATCAAGCTTTTATACAGTGGCGCCGTGGGCCCAATGGATGGGTGGTTGACTTGGGCAACCAAAGGGTGCTTCCGCAGCAAATCGACAACGGGGAGAGTGTTTTCATTGCACCGAGCAACCCTCCAAGCAATATTTCTGCAGTTTACAAGAAGCGTATCGACATCTAGAGGGAAATAGGTGTTTTCATAGGCAGCCGACACAGCGGCGTGGACCTTGTCGTGATGAACCGAGCTGGGGTTTAATACAAGACTAGAAACGTTATACATATTTTCCAGTTGGTGGGAATAGCAAATGGAGAAATACCTTCCTCCCGTGACATTGGAATAGCCACTGAAGGTCTTTGTAAGACTGGACATCATCACATCCACATACGGAATCGCATCGATGTTGACATAGCCGGCAACAGTGTCATCACAGGCTACAATAAAGCCATATCTATCCGCAAGGGCGCGAATGCGGGCTAGATTTGGTGAGGACAGTTTGATGTTACTGGGTAGCTCGGTAAATAGAGCGTGGAGTTTCAGCCCGGATTTCAATTCTCGCTCAAGATGATCCAGCTCATCCTCGGTGCCGTTTTTATAGAAGAGGCGCGTGGCCCAGGGGCTTCGCCGGAGGACTTCGATTGTTTCGGGATATATCCACCTTGAAGAGACGGAGGTCAGAGCTGATTATTCGTTTGTTTTTTTCCGGTTGGAATTTCTTTATTTCTTACCCATATGCGGCAACATTGGACTCCGTTGCAAGAGAGGCCAAAGTCTCCGAAAGTGCGTATATGGCATTCATCCCATTGGGATATAGAAACACATCGTCTGGGCTCACTGCTAGCTGCCCAGTAGCCAGACCTGCGATGACTGACTTCACCTCCTCGGCTGCGGCAGACGGAATCTCAGCTAGAAGGCTTGGGCGATTCCGGGCAGCTACAGCGCAGAATGTCTTAGTCGTTGCTGGGTCGGAAACTAGATAGTCAAACTGAGAGAGACAGAACTCTGCGTGTCGTGTGGATATCCCTGTTCCAGTATCGCGCCAGAAGCCCATTGCTTGTTTCAGCAGATCGAGCGGGAATAAAACCGCACTGAAACTAGCCCAGTTAGGAGCTGCATCTGACTCTGGATGCATGGAAAACCGGATGACATCAACTATATATGGACTATCAACGGGGGCGTTTTCGAGTATTTTAGATAGTTGCAGTGCAGCACGAGGCGAGGGGAAAATCATGCAGCCGATGTTCCCGTCGGTGATGCTTAGTCGTTGCAAGACGGCATTGCAGAGGTCTTTGACTGGCTTATTGATATAAAACCTTTGTATGTCAGCAATTCCCCTTCCTGAATATCAATTGCCACACAGGTTGGCCACACCGTGGATAGCTCCATTCCAGAGTATCCATTACCCAAGTCTCTTTCCGAGATAGTCCAATAACCGCGTCCCATGTCGGCAAAGAGACGCTGACGGCCTAAAAATGGTCATTAGCAGGTCGTTTTGTCTAGATCGATGTCCTCACATGCGGATCACCAGCAGGAAAGATGTTGGCCTTTCCTAAAGGGAGTGCCAGGGGCACTTTGGGACAAATACTGTTCTGGGGACCAGCGTCACCCATGGCTATTAACTTCCAGTTTGAACCGAGTATCGGTTTGAGAAGATTTGAAGCCCAATTCGAGAGACCTTAGGGAATTCCAGTAAGACACAGCAGACATGTTGACTGCCAAGTATTTATTCGATGCAAAAAGCAAACAACAAATACATTACTCTTTGAGTTCATCTTTCTTTTTTTTTTTTTTTTTTTTTTTTTTTTAAACCCTAACCCTTGCATGAGAATGAATCATCAGACTTGCATTGAAGATGTACATGTCTGGCTACCTAGTGTTCTGGACAAGACCGGACAGACCTTACCTTATTATTGTGAGACGTAACATACAAGTATTAATCATTTGTGAATTGATAGAAGAATAAAATAATTTTAGCTAACTAGTAAAAGTTAGTCGAGATCTGTTCAAATTCTACTCTGTATTGACTCGAATCACTGACGTGGGTCCTGACAATGAACTGCAGCGTCTGGCCCACAGTTCCCAGCCCACATGTGGTTCCTGAAATTGATGCACAGATCGTAAGCAGCCACGTCATACCCATGGTTTAAATTGATTGAAAGCACGCTTGGGTTAAACTTGATACTAGGCTTGCGAGGTTAATAACTACCACGTCTAGAATACCAAACCCAAAGAGACACCTGCAAATATCTACTGATTCGGTATCTTGCAGAGCACCCTCGACTGTATAGGGATGCTTTTTAATGAAAACACATTGAATTCATTTACGTAACCGATATATATGTATATGCATGTTTCCTGCGGCCTATGGAGATCTTCAGCCAGCCATCCAGGCAACCACAAACGCGTGCATTCGTATGGTTGGAATCTGAAAGCTGAAAGTGGATTTCTGCCGATCAGTCCACTGCGCGGAACGCAATTCTGATTTATGAATGATGTCCCTGTCCATCCAGATCAACGTGATCGATACCCTAGATGATAATTGGCAAGATTGTTACTGTATTATTAGCCGTCAGGGACTTGGCAGGCGATCCTGCATCTCGATCCATAAAAAGGGGCCCTTGCAAAAGCGTCATAGCTTCCCCAAAACTTGTGAACTTGTTATTATATGCAGTCACTGCTTCAGGTGCAACTAGCGGTGAAGAAGATATGAGAGGAGTTCACTTGACCGGTGGTGTTTTAAGGTTCGAAGGGTCCACTAAACATGTTACTTGCAGGATCTGTCGTGCCATCCCTGCTGTGTTGACCCCACTGCTACTACTACTATCATCATTACTAGCTAGAGATGGTCGTCTGGGCACCTTTTTGGCTGAGTGGGAGATGTATGACACGTCCCACAAATAAGAACTACACCTGCGTGCGTGCATATTTTTTTAATACAATAATACATATGTAGAGAAGAATACTTAGATTACACCTGGAGCAGTCAATACCGATTCCGATACAGCGTGAACTACCCTAGCATACCCATTACCAAGGAAGCAAGGTAGATTGAATTAGATGCTAGCTTTCCGTGTTCTTCTTAAACCAACTACACTCACTCTACACCATACCTTACGCCTCCATGTCCATGCGTAGAGCCATGGCATGTTACAGAGCTCAGGCCAGGGCTGAGACAACAAAACGTCTTATCGCACAACTAGTCAACGAAGGACTGGTCGACACAGAATTGTCGACATGGTCTTTATCTGCTGAAAAATCACATCTTCGCATTACAAATAAAGGCGATGCTGTGCGGTCGATACAAGTCACTGTGATCGACCGCTTCGAGTCCCGGTCCCAGTGGAGGCCGAATGACTTTGAAGTTCCTATAGTCCTCAAACTCTGTACAATTGAGACGAAAGAAGATGATCCAGGTTCTGTCTGGGAATTTATTCAGTCCTGGCTCGATTGCGATTGCGCAACGAGCAAAGAAATCGCGGGCGAGCTGCGCAACTCAGCGGCCATGTTAGGTACGTATACACCTTCCATTTAAGAGGAACTACATGAACCAACCCTGAACACTTGAAAAAACAAACAGAAAAATGGATGGAAATCGCCACCACACAGCCACTGCTGGACTTGAAAGCTGGATTTCTTTCCTGGGAGAGGTCTCTTATTTCCGGCCACCCAACTCATCCGGCATGTGTCCTGTCGCAGCATGTCATGAGAATACTTGCTAACCGCATGGAAATTGACTCATATTTAGTTTCACCGCACATGTTATGCTCATGAGATTTTGAGTCCTGTTGGACCCGACGAACTGCCGGCGATGCTCAACCCGGGTCTCTCTTTTGTGGCCTTGCCCCGTTCCTCCGTCTGCGTGTTTGGACCTTTTGAAAAACTCACTCAGCCTCTGCGGCAGCTATTCGGTGGAATCGAACTTAGTGCCTCAGACGGAAAAGAAAAGATAATAGTACCGTGTCTTCTACAACAGCTCCCTGCAGTGACAAAGTTCTTCCCAAACGCCGAGGTCGTCAAATCCATTCCAAACTGTGGCCTGGCCCAGGCGGCAATACGCACAATCACAGTGCCAGGCTTCCAATTTGACATCAAGTTCTCACTCGCCTGCCTGCTAACATCGGCAATCCGGGCCCTTCCATGCTGGGCTGCAGCTATCGCGCCCGCCGTGACAGATATCCTGAAAAAGGTTTTCCCCGAGGATCTATGGGTATTTGGAGAAGTTGCCGCCGTGACTGGAAACCAAGAGAAGGTCGCCGAGGCCCGTCATCTGACCTGTATTCTCCGGGAGAATCTCGAGTCCAGAGCGGAAGAAAATAACGAAACGCTGATACTGGCGTCGGCCTTGATGGAGAGACCGCTCGGCGGCCACCGCACATATGCAGAGATTCTTTTTGATTTGGAAACAGAAGAGGACAAAATCAAGTGGGCTACTAGGTAATATTGACACCTTTTGCAGTTATCTTGATCCTGGATAAGAAACACTGATATACATTGTAGTTATATTCAACCCCTTCTACGCCTTGCGTTAGATCCATTGCAACGGTTCGGAATCGGCTGCGAATTCCACGCCCAAAACACAGTAGCCCGGATTTGCCGCAAGACAAAAGCTGTCAAAGGCTTTGCTGTACGTGATTTGGCGGGGATTAAAATCCACAAACCGACGCTCGAACGCCAAGGAAGCTTCGACTTGAGCAATATCGGTCCGCTGTGCTCTGATGATCTCCACAAAGTTTGGGACAGGGTGCACCATGCCCTTATTCAGAACAATATAGGATATATGCTATATGCTTTGGACTTGGAGAAAACAGACAAGGTGTGGGCGGTTGTCCGGTCTGTGCTGTATGATTTACTTGCAGACGGTGATCACATGGCACAGGACATGTATCGTTATTTTGTCCAAGACACAATGCCATTCAAATGTTTCCTAAACATGAGAATGAGCGTCTCGTTTGGAAATGTAAGTCTGCGTCTCCGAGTATTCATGAACTTGGCTTCTCATATATGACTAGTCGATCGCATTACGTGAGAAGAACGTGCCAAACGTTCTATCCAAAAGGCCTCGCTGGCTCACTCAGTTATCTCTGGCTGCTGCCAAGGGCACTGCAAACATAATGATGCCACAAGACGTCGAACGCGAGATGCGAGCCATAGATAAAGAGGCAATAACAGCAAACCTCACCAATTGTGTCCGTCCGTACGGAACTATCCCTGACACCTCGCGAACACTCAACCCGTATCCGGCCCTACTTCCCCAGCAATTCATCACAGACCTAGAAAGATTCAACGAGGTGCTAGCTCTCGCTTATAATAATATCATTCTGCGGTGGTGGAAAGACACCGAGGCGAAATTTTCCAGTCGAATGCCACTGGACCCTCAGGCTGAGGCTTTGCTCCGCGTAAGTTTTACATTCCCGAAACATTATAGATGGCTGATTCTTATGATCTCAGTGGGTAGAAAAGATGACTGACGAAGGGACCATGCGGTCCTTTGTGGGCAATCAGGGGAATCTGAGACCTGATATATTGATTCCAATCAGTGCCGCCGGGAATGAGACTCTCGGGTTTCGAGTGTGTGAGATCAATGCGCGCTTCCCAATAAACTTCCTCCACTGGGTGGCGAGTGCATACGAAGCATTAGTAGGGTGTACAAGGCACATTGAATCCGTCAAACCAGCGTCAAATCACACTCGATTATTGGACAGTTTACTGGCGCTATTTAATCCCAAGCTTCCCATCCACTTCGTTCGAGATAAGGCAGGCATGTCCCAAGACGGGTCTCTCTTCGGCTGGCTAGAGTCTCAGACCGGAATAAGGCCGAGGATAGTGAGCCCTAGCGATCTCCGACTTGTGCCAGATGCCACTACGAAGACTGGCTTCATGCTCTGCTGCGTCTGGGGCGCCGATCCCGTAGTCAGAAACGCAGTTGAAAGAGGCAAACCCGCACCAAAGCTGATACAAGTGAACGGAGAACTGGTCGAGCAAGTGCACCAAATCGGCCTCCAACTATTCGACTACGAACTCTTCGCGCTCCCCACGGAGATGGCGCAGCACATAGCCCTCTGCTGCCGCAACGACCTCCGCAGCGTGTTTATCGCGCACGACAAGCGATTTCTCGGCATAATCCTGCAAGAGCTGTATGCCCTCGTGCACACACACCGCGTGCTCAGCCCAGCACAGGCTCAGCTGCTTCGAGAAGGTATTGTCCCGACAATCCTGCCCGGCTCGCCCGAGTTTCAGGAGCTGGCCAGCCAGGCGCGCAGGAACCCCGAGACGAAGAACCGGTACATCCTTAAGCCAATCCGCGAGGCGCGCGGAGCGGGGATTCTACTGGGCAGGGATATTTCCGCGACTCAGTGGGATGCGATTTTTACATCGATGGAGAGCAGCTCTAGCGGGAGTTATTCTGCTGGCGAAACAACGTATATCCTACAGCCGCTGATCAAGCTGCAGTCCTTTGACTGCTTCTGGGACGAGGAGCGCAGGGTCCGCAAGAGCCGTACGGTGGGCACGTACTACTCGGTGAATGGGAGGTTTGTGGGTTTTGGAATGTGGAGGACGGGGTCTGCGGCTGAGAATGTGATATCTGCGTCGACCAAGGATGTTACTACTGTGTTATCGGCTGTGTTGGACTGACTTAGAATAGAGATATCTGCTGACGTTGGAGAGTTATCTAATCTAACTAACATTTAATACTCAAAGCCTAGTTGGGAATCGTAACCAAGATGCGTCTGCGAAGCCAAACTACTCTTGGAGTCTAGAGTTATGATCCAGATCTTAGTCCAAGCCTCTGGGACCAGCCTATGGATGCTCTATGGACCTAACCACCCTAAGGTACTAGACGCAGCCAGCCTCATGGTAGATGCATTCAACCAGGTCCACTCAGTGTGCAGAACACAGGAGACACGACATAGTTGTCAACTCTCCTTACAGGACAGGGTGATCTGACATCAAGGGCTGACAGCAGCCTGTGTGGTGTGCGGTCACAATAGAGAATATACACGTGATTAGGATAGAGATTGAATACGTCGTCAGGATGATGATGGAGATGGACGAGGGGACGGAGAGAGGCAAAGAATTAATGGAAGAGTGCAGGAGATGGGATGGCTATCTTACGTGGTCACAGGTGCCTCAAAATTGACGGTTTGCTGGAAGCAGACAAATTCACCTTCAATGGACGATGCTCTATCCCTTCCTTCTTTCCTCACCTAAGAATTAACGTTTATAAAGTTCCTCGTATAGTAGTGTCCTACTCCTGATTATAGACCTTTCCATCTGCAGCCCGGCCTACTAGGTCTCAATCTGCACAGCCCACCACTGGCAGTATGTAGTCTCTCTAAGGCCCAGTAATGTTCTATCACATGGTCGAGGCTAATACTATCTACCCCGCTGGAAATTGGAGACCTTGGTAGATGCCGAATAGATGCCACCGTGGGGAGACGAGCCTGTCTATTTGGGGTTGACACATGTTTCGGTTGGGTTATGCGGAACACCTGCCGAGGTCGAGATATTCGTCAGGCTAGTTTGTTAATATAACCCTGCCATCGTAGGGTCCGACGGATAGTGAACGTAGATACAAGCATGTCGAATTCCTCTTATAAGGACTACCATAACGGGTGTGATCATACAGGAATGGCCGCCCGGAATTGGGGATGCAACATTAATATAAAGATGGTAGTATTCTATTCGACCAATAGTATTTATAGTATAGTTATCTAATTCAACTTGGTAAAAGGGCCTGACCTCCTATACTACACATATTTCGCCTACATATATTTTTGTAGAAGCTCGGTTGAGCTACTGAAAGATTGCCACACTGATAAGTTCTGGATATGTTGAACGTCGCACATAGTCCTCCCAATGGACATAATTTATATCAACAGCTGCTTTCATCTTCTCTCTCCTCAAGCGGCGTATCGATAAAATCATTACCTAATTAGCTTGCTGAGCCTGCCACCTCGTCTCCATCGCCTAATCCTAGTTCTGCAGCAGTTTTGCGGGGCATGTTATAACCAGTTAGTCAGGCAATTAAGCGAGAATGATGGAGGAGATGTATTCCTACTTTATGTAGAGAGGAGCACTGGCATTATATCTCCCTGTGTCCCTTGATTCTTATTATTATCTGAACACTCATTCCGTCCGTCTCCTTTCTAATTTCTGTTTATTCTTATCGAAATTGACTTGGCCTTTTATCAAGATGCTGTTCACTCCCATTGCTGCTGCATCACTGCTAGCTGTGCTTGGCACACAGCCAGCAGGTGTGCTAGCACAGGATGCCGAGGGCTGGTACAAGGCTCATCCAGGCATGGCGCGTATCAGCCAGGTGAACCAGGACACGCATCAAATTGTGGATGAATTCGGCCGTACGCGGTTCTTCCACGGAACTAATGTTGTGATGAAGGAGCCACCGTGGTATCGGCCGTTGGAGTGGTCGCCTGGTGTCTCATCGTTTGGCGAGCAAGATGTCCAAAACCTGCATGATCTAGGTCTGAACATTGTGCGGTTAGGCCATAGCTGGGCTGGTGCAGAACCTGTGCGTGGGCAGTACAACCAGACATTTCTAGAAATCATGAAGAAGCAGACCAAGATGGCTGAGGACCACGGCCTCTATGTTTTGGTGGACGTGCACCAAGACGTCCTGGCGCGGCAGCTTTGTGGTCACGGCGTACCTGACGTAAGTAGATGCATGGCCATGTTGGCACAGCTGATACTGACACGGCTGCGTAGTGGTTTGTTAAGAAGGACTGGGTACCAGGCTGGAAGATGTTTCCTTTTCCTCTCAAGCTAACGCCGTTCCCTGTGGATAATAACGGGTTTCCATCGCCGCAATCGCTTTGCAGCACCGTCGACTGGTCTCTGAGCTACACGTCGGTGGCGGTGTGTAACGCATTTGGGCGTCTATACAACAACTACGACGGGCTGGGCGATGCGTTCGCGGCGTACTGGAAAAAGCTGGCGTCCGAATATGTCGAGACGACCAACGTGGTCGGGTATAACCTGCTGAATGAGCCGTGGGTGGGCGACTCGATGGCCGACCCGACGCTGCTAGTGCCAGGTGTTGCCGACCACAAGGTCCTAGAAGGCCTCTGGAATCGCGCCGCCAAGCAGATCCGTACCGTCGACAATGACACGCTCATCTGGTTCGAAGGTGCCACCATTGATATCTTGTCGGGTTTCAACAACGTCCCTCTTGGAGACGGCTCGAAGTCAGTGCACTCATTCCACTACTACAGCCCGCCGCAGCTGTCGTCTATTTCTACCACGCTCGACAACCGCCGCAAGGACAACGAGCGTCTTAGGACCGCCGGTGTGCTGACTGAGCTCACCTTCTGGATGGGCGATGACAAGCAGATGCAGGGCCTCGCAGACGCCATGTCGGCGACGGACGCAAATATGGTTTCCTGGATCGGCTGGGCGTACGAGAACCTGTACAACGGCACATCTGGTCAGCCTTACCCTGAACTGGCAAAGCACTACAGCCGTGCATACCCCGCCGCCGTCGCCGGCACTCCCAACAGCTTCAGCTTCGATGAGAGCTCGGGCACCTTCAAGCTGCAGTTCACGTCTGAACCAAGTATTAAAGCGCCCACTGAAATTATCCTGCCCCCATCCACGTTCCCCAACGGCTATAAAGTCCAGGTCATGCCTGACGGTAGCTTGCTACAGTATGTAGTCAACAAGCGTACCCTGGCCTTGTTCACTTCTACTAGCATCAAGAACGCCATCAAAATCTCCGTCACAGTCTCTCCTAGATAATCACATCTGCGGCTTACATTTAAAGTTACTATGTATCCGTAGTAGTGGAGCTACTCTGCTATACTCTACTCTAGTCAGGATGGTGATCATGAATCATATTGGCCCTATCAAATATGTCAACTACCTCACATCCTCTATTCTCTCTTTTTGTTTTCCTAGATGATTATATTATTCACATTTTACCATCTAATCAGATCATTCTGAGCCTTTGTTAACAAAGTCTATGGCATATCAAAGTTAAGGCATTCACAGTATCAATATAATAGTCCTAATAGGCCAATAGCATCCGCCGGCCTAGTTAACTTGGTTGGCACATAAAAATTCTGGGGTCCTGAGCAGAGTGGTTAAACCCAACCGAAGGATGGGGATAACACTAACTATAGGTAAACTTAATAAAATCTATACTATTTAATAGAGCTTAAGAGACTAACCTAATAATAATATTATTATAAAAATATTGAGCATTAGTAGAGTTATAATAGAACAATGTAATAAAAATTAAAAAAATAGCTAGACTTCTAACGTATCCTAACTATTCTAAATCTCTATGTAGGACTTGCATTAAAAGCAGCCTTATATAGGCGTTGGCAGAAGCCATACAGCAGCATGCCATGGTTACAAAAGGGACAGCAGGAATAAAGGACAATGCAAATAAATATAAGTATTAATGGCAACCTTCCTCCCTTAAATAGCACCGCCAGAGAACAAGCCAGACATACAATAAAAGACGAGATCCCATGGATGCCCATCACCGAACAAGAGGTGCATCAAGCCGCCAAACCCTTGAAAGCAACTGGGGGAGGACGGAATGCCACTCTAGTGTAGCAATGCTTAAACAAGAGATCCTCATGGACCTTCACGTCCTTATGCGCTCTCAGCACCAGGTATCTAGCTAGTTACTATTACAGAAGATATGGTGATGAGGTTAGCAGCATTCTAAACACCAGCTCTTAATGCTATAGCAAGCTCAGCAAGTTCGCAAGTGATAAAACATCACACCATTGAAGCTTGTCACTAATGCTATAAGCAATAGTCAGGAGCCATACTTGCTAGAGGAAAAATTGGGTATGCCGGGCATCTGGCTCTTTCTCTCAACTATACTTTCCCTGATTCCACATATACCTTTCACTGAAATTACCTCAATGAGGCCTTATTATCACATGGTATCTGCTCTAAAACCATGAAAGCCGCTAGAGCATGGTCCAGGCTGATCAATTAATGCCAAACCCTGTACACTAACCACATTGTGAGTGGACCCAGTAACTAAAATTCCTTAAAGCAGGTATACAGATACTGGAGTCCCATGGGTTCTCCACTGCTGCTAAGCTTAACACTGAAATAGGTACTTGCCTGAGAAGAAACCTGCTCATTAAACTGGGTTGGCAACCCCACAAGAAATACCTGAATGCTAGCGTGTCTTGTATTGTCCATGACCAACCAGTCTGAGAATAGAATTAAAATAGCTCTTTAGCCCGTGTCCTTGTACTTAAGAGATGCACTTGAGTCAAGATAAAATTCCTTTGAAAGTATTAAACTCGCAGATCTTCTAGCAAGATATCTGATTCAACTTTGCAACCTTGGGTGTGAAGCCAGATCGGAAAACAGTAAGCAGTCACGCACGCACACACACACAATGGTGGGTCTTGCTTTGCCTTGGCTAATGTTGCCTCGGCGGCGCTTTAGACTTGGAGGGCGCTGATGGAGGACGAGAATACGATTCAGGGGCTATGGTATGTGGTGGGATGGAGGGTGGTTTGGGCTGGGTGGGCAGTTTGGGTGTTGTTTAGGGCGTCGTAAGTGAAAATCAATCATTAATAAACACTCCACTTTCTCGAGTTCCACCGGAGCAAGAAACTGCACCTGAAGCCCCGCAAGGGATAGATAACTTGATGGAGAGGGATACGAGCTTCGTGTTCTACGGCAGTATCACCGACCGGCCTGAGGTGACATCGCTCCACACTTAGACCTCACGAACAGTGAAATGGGAGCTAATATGTACTTGGCGGCAAAGAGTGCTTAACTCCTCCTGGATTGATTTCACGACCTGTCTCACCATTGGAGGATTTAAGCGACATATCCAAGATTCCGCGGTCAGAGTTCTATATATATTCCGCCGATCTTCGTGTTTCTCGTATCGCCTTTTTAGCCCAAGCAGCTGTATGCTGTGCAGACCACCCTGTAGCTGAGAAGGAGATGCGTCCCCGAAAGGTCTATTTAACATCGAAACTATCCAACCTTGAAGATCTTATGTATACTCCCTAACCTTCCCTTCCCCTCCCACCCCCAACCGGAACGCATCCAATCCTCCAGTCACCATGCGAGTCACCCTCTTTGCTCTCATCACAGCCCTGACGAGCGTGGTTGCGCAAATCCCCAACTCCCCCCGATTCGATCTCACAAAACCCTCGTACGACCTCTGGCGGAACAAGAGAACCGCCGCCATAACCGTCCAACAATCATTCACCTTTGACAACGTCAACCGCCGCCTCTTCATCGTAAACCGTCGCGATGGCTCCGCCCTCGACTCAGGAGACTTAACAATCAGCCAACTCGACTTCTCAGGAAAGGTCCTCGGCTCAATGGACCTGCTCGGCTGCGGGCACGGTGTGAATATCGCCGCGGAACCAGTCGGAAGCGATACATATATCTGGAGTGAAACCGACGCCGCAGCAAGCGGGTACGGGAGCGCATTGTGGAAGTTCAAGTTTCAGAATGGGAAGACGTTGAATAGCGCCACGGATAAGCGGAAGCGGATTGTGCCGTTGCCGGGGTTTGATAGGGGGACTGCAACAATTGACCCCGTTTATAAGCGGTTAATCGTGCGATACCAGACTGGATCCGTGCAGCATATCGCCGCATTTGACCTTGCCCAGGCAAGCGCAGGCAATTTTTCGAATCCGCTGGCGAACTGGAAGATTCCGCATCTCGTTAACGAGCTCGGGGCAAAGGTTGATGTGTTTCAGGGGTATGCAGCTTACGGGCGGTATATCTATTTCCTGACTGGGGAATCTTATGACGCTAGTGGCGGTAAGTTGAATTCTGAGGTTATGGCTCTGGATTTGAATACTGGGAAGCTTGTGCAGGGGCCTGTCATTACAAAGGCTGGCTCGACGTTGAAGTTTCGTGAGCCGGAGGGGATGGCGATCTATAAGACAGCCAGTGGGGAGGTTAGGCTTTTCTTGGGGTTTTCGTCGGGGGTTGCAGGAGACCGGAGGAGTAATCTCTTTTATAAGAACCAGTTGATATAAGGATTGTTGATGTTGTGAGGAGCTTGAAGGAGTGAGGGTTTATACATCATGTCTGGGGATATCATACCAGATGGGTCCAGCAGTGCATATATATCTTTGCTACCTAGTAAAGCGCGCCGAAATATGCGCCCTGAATAAGTTCTTTCTTTAGCATACTTAAGACCAGACCTCTTCTGGTAGGCTCTATAATGCCTGTGTGTTGCTATATCCTGATGTGCTGCAAACCTTACACACATACCTTGGGGAAATTGCAGCTGTAGTTGGGCCCAGATTGCTCCTCTGACTGTGTGACACTGTTATGCTAAGGTGAACTAGGCAAACTAGGTAAAGTAGAGGGTAATAGGGGAGATAAATAACTTTAAGTTCCTAAGTCTATACAGGGACTCATAGGATTAGGTTAATACCATGACTATAGTCAATCTTAATAGAATTGATATCATTAATAGAGCTTGAAGAGACTAATCTAATAATAATAATATTAATATTAAGAAATATTAGCAATCAAGTGTCTATTACTCGGCACTTTTGCATTTTCGCGCTCCTCTGTAGACAGTGGCGCATTGATGATTGTCCGACTAGCGTTACTGTTCGGTAGGTTCTCTCCAAGTCGATCTAATCGCCTCCAAGTCGTAGTTATCCGAACTTCTCTCTTTCGCAGCTTGCCCTGAGGCTCGGGTCGACATCCTCTCAAGCACAGATTGTTGGCTCGGCGCAGTGGTGTATTGAGTGAACTTATCGCCTGTGGGCCTTGCACGCTGTGCCTCAACCTCTGCCATCAAGCACCTCCTTCGGACGGACCAAGCACTGCTGAAGTGGACGACAAGCCACCAAGCGAACAGAATAGGTAGAGTTTTACCGAGGCTCGAACGGCAGCCGGACCAAATTCCGACTAGCAAGAGCCAGATGTCGTGCGCGGGTAAGGCCCAGCTCCAGTGGTAAAAGCCTGGTGTGAGGTCGAACGGGTAGACGGTCGAAGCAATGTTCACGATGACCCATGTGAGGACGAAGAAAGAAAGGAACTGCATAGGAATGACGGTGCCGATGACGGTATCGAGAAGAAGATAGTTGATGTCCATGTACAACCAGATGCACATCCACGTCTCCAAGAATTGACCGGATGTCACACCCCAACCCTCGCGGAACGCCCAGAAATAACCAGTCGTTACTAGAGAAGAGATAAAGGTGTAGATCTTGCCCGAACCTAGTCGGAAGACGTAGATGTCGCGCTTGGACTGGGTCTCTAGTACCTTCGCATTGCCCATAATGCCGTTCAAGGCCATTTGAAAAAAGAACTGCATGAGTATCGGCATCACCATTGATACGGTGTTCAGGAGAACTCGAGTTCCTTGGTTGGTTGGCATAATATCCCAAGCGGTTGCTTCGAAAGGGTTGAGCAGAGCGCCTGCGGACATCGGGTTGGTCATGTTGACAGCTTTCAAGGCATCTGGAGACGCGAGAGGGTAAAGCTTGGCCGCGACGCTGAGTAGAGTTTGCAGGCTGCCCTTGAAGGATGAGGCAATCGCAGGATAATAGGCGCCATTGAAGATATAGGTGACAGCATCGCTGGGATTGTAGACCGTGGTGTTATCGCCTTCGATCGCAGTGAGGAGTCGTTTGGATGCGCCAGAATGTGTATAGATGGCGCCCCAATAGCCACGATCGCAGACAGCCTTGCGGACTGACTCGGGCGTCCGGTACTCTGACGATGAGCCAAATTCGAGGCTCGGAAACTCGTCAGACTTCAAGTTGCTGTAGGCGCTCGATATGGCGTTTCCGATATCACCGCCGTCAAAGTCGATGGCCAGGATCTTAAGATTGTGCATGCGGGTGGTTGACTTGAACAGGGCGCCGAAAAGATATGACATGTTGCCGAGGAAGAGCAGCTGGAGTAAGAAGCCAGCCATTATCATGGGCATGATGTAGGCCTTCCATTTCCCAGCCCAGAACGTGGAGTGAGCGGTCCGACTGTTGGTTGATTGGGGAGGTAATAGCGACATGTTGTTTGTTCCTCTCTGTCTTGGCGACCTGGAGAGATCGAGACTTGACCGTCTTGGAGGCGCGATACTGGGGTTATACGTCGAGATCTGAAGGTCCGCCTCGGAGATTCGCCCTTTTCGCGCCCGATGTATCTATTATCTATCCAGTTGGGCTCCGCGATGCCCGAGGACTGCAAAGAGACTGTTAAACAGTCATGGTAGTTAGTTAGTTGGGCACGACGATTGACTAAGCGGCAGTTTCGGCTTGTGGGAGATCGCCCGAAGCCAGGCACCCCGCTGAAGAAAAGTTCCACCAGAACCTAGAAAATTATAGACTATCCGGAGTCGCCAGCCGTGACCGCCGATCCAAGGATTGGACTGCGTGGGAACCTGACGTCCTGACCAGACGATTAAGTTTAAGGTACCTCAATAGTTAATTAACTAGGGAAAACCTGCTGAGTCAGCGGAACCAAGACCGCCGGCCCGAACGTGCTGCTAAACCCTAACGATAGCATGGATGTAACTGTTTTGATCCAACAGGACCGAAACCATTTATGTGGATGTATTAAGGTCACTATTTTCAATTGGTTTAACCAAGCATCCCCAGTTAAGAGCCATTACGTTAAATAGTCCAGATACGCCAATTCGCCTCTTGTTCTCCGTGTCTATAATTCCGTCAGCGAAGTCGCATTGGAATCTCCCTTTCTTTGCATCACACACTCAACCATGTTTGCAGTAATCGTGCTCCTTCTTCCACACCTGGCCAGGGCAGCAATGTTCATCCCTGAAAACGGTGCTCTTTTTTCCAACGGTGTAGTACGTGATGAATCCTGCCGAAGTAGTTTACCTATCCTCAGAAACAACTAACATGTGCTAGAGCAGACACTTTGGCCGTTCCGTATAACCTGACGGCATCTCTGTTGAAGAGCCCTGGGTACACTGCGGGTTCCTTCTGGGCCTCCTTATTCATCCATGCGTCCGACAACCACGACTATATAGTCATTTCACATGTGTCGGGCGGCCCTGGACTCCCAGGCGGTGCGTCTCGATGTACCGACGGACATCACAAATCCATCGCAGTATACACATTTTGAAGTCTTCTCAAACATTATATAAATATCAATTCATAATACCTAGTGGTTTTGGAGATGTGAGGGAATAAATATTTTGATTAGGGATGCTATAAAAGTGGTCGTAGTTTATATATATTTGCGTTAACCTTTGATAATCACTAGTATCTGGGAATACTTCTTAACCACCATCCATTCACTCCTATAGATATTAAATTATTATTTCAGGTCTAGACTAGTATAATGATAATGATTATATATTTCATATAACAATATCAATTTCTAAAGGTATAGTATTAGTATGGTAGATAGTATGGCAATTAATGATTACTTTAAATTTTACAATAGTTACAATCCACTAAGAGGTAGTGGTTTCACCAAGCTAAAACCACTAGATCCAACCATGGTTAGTTAATAGGGGTGTAACTACTAACTAGGCCCATCTAGACCTAGTGGCAGGTTTTTGCAGTTGAAGTCAAACTGAATCAGAATGGATCAGGTTTCTCGAAGTCGCGTTAGGGTTCGGTGCCAACTGGTTTTGAGCTCACGTGAACTCGGACCGGATGCATCTCTAATTGCTGATTATTGCATTGATTCGCCTTTTTAAATAGTACATTGGATGGTAGAGAGAGGTATATCGGATGGTGTATATGGGAACGCTTATATCACCAGCTAATGGCTTGTAGCTCACGGATTGGAGCACGAACAATAGGTGTAGCTCCTTAGATTGCGCCATCTAATTGTGTTGGAATAAAATTAATTGCATATGCGGGCGTTGAGGTTGGCAGAATAATCAGAAATGGAGAGCGGTGATTCTAGCGGCAAAAGGGGTCCAAATAGTTTTGAACCCCCACTGTATTTACCCCGATAATCTTTCTTTTTCGCCCCCCGTTCATCATCACCACAAGGCGTGGCCAAAGGCTGACATAGTTCTGGAGCGCCATGGGACGGCAGCGTACAAGAAAGGCTCCATCAAGCCACTATCCTTCTCAAGTTAATGAAGCGCGGGATGCGCAGCTCCTCCGAGTTTTCAGCAAACCAAACAGTTGGGTTCAATCAGGGACGAAGCCCTCCCCGCTTCGTACAACCGCGCGAAAACGGGGCAGGCTGAGGAAAGCTGCTGGGTTCTTTGATACTGTGCCCCATGAGATACTAAACATGATATTGCTCAATCTTGACTACCTCTCACTGGCGAAACTCTGCACGACCAACTCAAAGGTAGAGGTATATATCAAAAAGCAACCCTTTTATAGACTTGTGGTGGAATACTGCCAAGATACTCTGCGGAGCATGACGAGGCTAGACCTACACCGCGTTCACGACGCAAGGCACGTCTATAAGGCACTGATCGACCCGAAATGCTCTGCGCCGGGATGCGGAAGATTGGGAAACTCGCTTTTCTTACCGAATTGTCGCCGGTCATGCCCCAGTTGCTTGGGACGTACACCCATGTCAACAGTACTCATGCTTGAGGCTGCCGAGACCAAATATGGGTTAAACAAAACGGCTATTACTGAGAATATTCTTTGCTTCAAGCTTCCCAACCTCACGGAATGGTTCGTGGTGGCTGCAGAAGCTATTGACCTGGCCACTCGTTTATACGGCAGGAGGCCGGACGATTCTTGTTCACCAACGTTATGGTCGGACATGGTTCAAGTTCCATTCCCGTTTCTCGACCCGGAAAGTAGGGAAATGGAGTTTGGGAGACAATGTCGTGCGTGTAATATGGCGTACGTTGAGCACAGGGATATCTGGACCAAAACCGAGATCAGTCCCACCGAGTCCGAGAGTGAGGACTGGGAAAGAAATTTGAGAGACCTCGAAGACCTGGGGCTCACTGTTTTTGGAATCAGGGAGCTTTTGAGGCATATCCGTAGCGGCGACTGCCCAGAGGCCACGGTGTTCTGGGCACAAGAAATACAGAACTTGTAGGGTGGTGGGCTTCTGTTATGCAACTAATCCCCAGTGCACTAGAAAGGAGACGTATTTTAAGAGGATAGACAAATGACATGAATTCTCACTGGTCACAAGAGGCGACACAGTCTGGATGTCCAAACTGCATTCAGTCCCTTGTATTGTGATAACAGGGGTATAATCCTTGATTATGACTTACCATTGAGCAGATCTCATTCTTTATAGAAAGCTCTAACCAGTATCCGGAGTACTCGCCCATTAAGCATCTATTATCTCTCAGACGTCTGATGTGAGCAGTTTGTCTTTCCCCTGGGACCTCCTGACTTTGTCCATTGTTATTCCTCGTCTCTAGCACCTGCAACCCTCTAGACGCATATTCTCTGGCCTGCGCTGGCGTTCAGCGCCACTGCTTGAGCCTAAGTAACGGGATCCAGTCCCCGGTCTTCACCCCAAAGTGTAGCCCAATCCTCTCAGGTGGCTCATGGAGACATGGTACTTAGTAGGCCCTGCACTGCTGGCTATTAATATCATACTCTGCACCATAACTGGATGGGACAGTGGTGCTCAGGAGGAAAATGGCGTTTTCCTGAACCAGATGGGGATATTCATCTCCCCGTTCCAACTCTGAAATGATGCTCTATCCAAATTTACAGAACCACAGACAATTACTCTCCTGGGCTGCTTGTGGGACCTTATACATAGCATGAACTAGTAAAGAGCGCGACCACCTGTTCGACCTATATAATCCAGTGATAAGCGGTAAAGGCCTAAATACTATTCTATTTACCACTATGTGGCTATGTCTAACTCTCCTACTAGGTCCTTTCTTAAGGCTTACTTATCAGACCTAATCATCTCATAGTCTATACCTCTGCTAGGTGATTTCTGTCTAGAATTTTAATCCCACCATGCTTCTTGATAATAATGGCAAGGTCTATATTTTATCTAGCAATTCTCAGAGGAATTGATAGAACAGCTCGCTTTACTCGGTGAGAAGGGGACAAGCTCCCTAAAAACAGGTTACTAGTCAATAATAATCCGTTAACAGTGCTCTAATATCCTCCATTTTCTGTCTCACCCAGGTAGCTCTTCCATTTCTCCCTCGCTCATGCGATACTCTGGGGTGATTCTGTTTGAAAAGGATATCCAGCAATGCGGACGCGGTTGCTGTGTCGAGAATGCCACAATTGGATGAAATATGTTATTCTCATTACCTAATGCATGAGAATAACATATTTCAGCAACCCCCAGTTTCTGCTCGATTCTAACTAGCATTCTTGCGCTGAGCTAAATCGGCATCTCAATTTGCATGTCTCGATGTTCGTCCAAATCGAAGCCACCAAACTGTAGACCTGGAAGCACAGATGGACTTGACGATGGCGAGGTAATGTCCGTCCTGATGGCCAAAGCGGAGTAGATCTGGGAGAATATCGTATCGTACGCCTGAAGCAGCCAGGTGTAGCAGGTGAGGATGGTAAGTGTTGTAGGCATATCTATCGGGGTGGATAATGGTGCAGACGGGTTGGCAGGAGAACGACTACAAGTGACCTTTTCCACCTCAGTCAACTTCTCGGGGTTCAGTATCGTAGGAGTCGGATTGCAGGGGGTTTCTTCCACAATAGCGACAAACTCAGCGTCATGTCAGTAGTCGGAGTAGGAACACTCCGAGTCGGCAAATGAGGTGGGACTCAGACGGGGTATCATGCCCTGGAGGATATCCAGGAATGTCTGAAAGCTCTCAAGCGCCCTGCCATTGGTATTTTGAGGGATGCGTACTCCCTGATTGATGTTATTCGTGTTGCGACACGAAGAAAAGGACAGAAGTTCTGACAGCATGACGAAGTGGTCTTGTCGAAATCATGGAAAGTCGAGAGCTGAGCTCTGAAAAGCGCTGGAGACACTCTCGGGTTGGGTCTACCGGCTGACTTTCCATGTTCGCGAAAAAGGCTTGCGTGTCTTCTGCGGGCAGACGATAGGATACTGGGATAGCAGCGTTCCCCTGCCCAGGTGGAAAAAATACATCTATCACCAAGCGGTCATCGCAGGAAAGCGGGTTCCTGCCCAATTAATTTGCATCCCAAAATCAAGATGATGATTGGCGGTGGAAGAGCTGTGGTGGATGGGCTTGGGGTTTTTCGTGGTACTGAAAAGAGGAGGGTCCAGGTTCTTCGGTAAGGGTGACTGCGGTTAGATTTTCAATGTCTCGGGACCTCCTCTTCGCAGGCCGTTCTCCCGAGTGCCGATGCATGCTTGCCCTCGACATATGATCATCTAGAGCCATGGGAAACGGTCCACGGGTGGTTCCAGCCTCACTGGCCTTCCGCTCGTGCCTGGTGGTTGGCGAACTCGCCCAAACTCAGACCGAATGCAACTCTAGTCTGGTATTACTTAGGCATTAGTTATAATAGGATTATAGGTATAAGTAAGAAGCAGATCTTAATATATATTAATTTAGTGTCTACTAGTATTAGAGTATCTACTAACTATTACTGTAAGGGTTATATAGTAAAAAAATTGCAGTTTGTCTAACTTAAAACTGCACTAAATCTAACCATGGTCAGTTAGATAGGCCTAGCTATGCCTAGCTATGGCTAGCTCAACCTAGCTGCAGTTTTTTGTTGTGAAATTGCAACCAACCTAGATTGGGTTTGATTTGGTGCTGAGTTCTAAAATTTAGGCCTGAAACTGCAGCAGTTCAGGACCGTCCAACTAACGTTGAACTCACCTGCACTTGCACTAAATGCAACTCTAAGGACATATAAATCTTTATCAACCGTATCATTAATCTTCTAGACATCTGCCAGAGTTTCTTTGACTATGTGTAATTCATTTTTAACGCCACCAGGGTCTAGCTAGGCCGCTAGCGAGAAAGAAATCCCTATGATCTACTAGAAGCTGAGATCTCGTAGATGAGTCGATGCTACTGGGGACCATCTCACGTGGACCTAACTCCAGGTCTTATTACAGCCGTGACATGAAGCATGGAGAAGCTTCGTAACGTAAGCCGAATGGAGGTTCGAGAAGTATGTCACATATTTCAACAGATAAAACGAAGCTAAAGAATTCCCCAAAGGAACCCCCCTTTTCGCGCAAGACGCTCTGTGGATTCTGTTTCAAGTTGACCAATTATTTGTGATATTTGAAAAGACATACAAACTTTCTTCTGCCACATACCATCTTAAGTGGACACCAAGCCTGCAACATTTCCCCGCACATCCATTACCCTTACATATCTGGAACAACACCCTTCATTGGAGGCCCAGTCTCGATCTCGTCATAATCCTCAAGTTCAAGGAGAGCCTCTTTCACACTCGTGATACCGCGAAGAAGATCCGCCTCTGGAATGTTCAGAGCCACACCCATGCGTACGCGGTCTCCATCTGGGTAGGTGAGAACGCCCTTGTGGAGGCACAGCATGCTGAGTACGTCGGGTGGTGTGTCGCGGGCTGCCAGTACGTTTCAGGTAAAGGCCCAAATCAGCACCACGGTTTGTGGTATAGTCAAGCCATGGCATGTTCCAGTCGGCTGTTTCCTTCTTCCAGATCTGCCCGATCCAGGTGGCGCGCTCGACGAGTCTCTCCTCGTCCATGATCTGCAACGTCGCACGAGTGGCAGCAATAGCCGCCGGTGCCATGCCGAAGGTTGCTACGGACTCATAGCCGCCGACCAGATTCATCACCTCATTGTGACCGAAGATGTATGAGGCAGGATAAGCTCCGCCGGTGATGGACTTTCCCATAACAACCATGTCGGGCTTGTTCTCCGGACCCATCCAGTCAGAACAAAGGAACTTTCCGGTTTTGCCCGAGCCCATTCGCACTTCATCAGCAATAAATAGTATATTGTATTTCTTGCAGAGCTGGCGCACGCCAATTGCAAAGTTGAGCTCTTCCTCAAAGGAGCTGCGCCGTGTGGTGTTAGTTTTTTGAGACGAACCATGATAGTCTGGATTGACTACGGCCATGAGAATTACCAGGCCCAGACTTACGGTTTCTTTCCATGGATACACTCCATGATTATTGCGGCCACACGTCCGTGAACGTCAGCAAGGACTTGCTCGAAGTCTTTCAGGCATCCGTACTTCAGGAGCTCCCCCGTCTTTGGGTTGGTATTCCGAAGATTCTCGTTGACGATACCATAATCTGACATACCAGTTAATTCTGCTGCACAGGATCTAGAACCCTTCTTTCGACATTAAAAGAGCAAAACCAAAAAGACAAGTAAAAGCGAAGCACGCAATACTTACCCGATGACTGGCCCATATCATTCATGATGGGCCAGATTCCGGAGCCAACGCCATGATAGTTGTCCGAAACCCCAAGTACGAGGACATCGCGAGGCGGAATGCCCTTTACTTTGATTCCCCATTTTCGGGCAAACTTGACAGCTGCATCGGCACCCTCTGTGCCAGAAACCATCCCTGCCATTTTGTCGTAGCCGAACCGTGTGCACATATCCCGCGCGAATTCGGCCCAGTCGCCCACTTTGGTGGCAATATTGGTGAGAGTGACTTAATGTTGATACGGTTAGCTTAGAAGCTAATGCAGTCCAATTGCTGGACTTCCACAGCAGAGCGTATGGACCATGGACTGGTACTTACTGGTCTGCATGGAGGTGATCATCGCTTCGAGCAATTTCGGGTGACATTGGCCCAGGTTGGTGGCGCTCAACATGCAGATGAAGTCGATGATTTCATTCCCATCGACATCCTAGTAGCTCTCAGTCATCTCGCCAATAACATTATATTGAAGAAAGGGGCCGGAAAATGAAGCACTGACCTTCAATATAGAACCCTTGCCGCTCTTTATGAAGACAGGAAGTGGAAAGATACCTCCCGCGGAGTGTTTGCTATCGATTTCCAGGAGCTCGTTTGTCTTGGAGGACAGTCGCACGACCTTACCATCTCTCTGATTTTCCCGAGTCATGATTTGCCCAATACTCTGTTAACTGATAGAAAGGTACCACGAAAATCCGCGAAGTGACGGGGTAATTACGTGGAGGTGATGGCGGTTGGTGGGACAAAAAGAGAAAGACTTCAGCGGGCATCTGAGGGAATTTATACAAACCAACCTCGGAACTCGTTGCTATGTATGTGTTGTCGGTATCCTGCTGTGGCCACTTAATCCACTCACCATCCAGTGGTGCGTCGTATTGCCGGACTGCCTAGGAGCCCATCATCTCAATGCATCATTCCAGTGAACTTTGATTCGAATCGCCTGGTAAGACATACTACCATTGAGCAGAACGATGTTGTCCTTTCTGCGTTCTTGGCCGTAGAGAGATAGGGTACCCACCTGGGCAGCCGTTATAGGAATTAATCTTACCATGGGGTACAGAGAGCGTCAGATTACTGGTGGAACAACAACCTTGGTAGCCCTTTTAGCGGTAGGAAAGTAAGTTGCGGCTGGGGTAAAGTCTGATAAGCGCGGGCATCCCCCAGATGATGTTGCATTCGACCCACAGTGCTAGCGGCCGGGTTCCAAGCTTGTGTTAGGTAACTTTCTGACCTGATCTACGTGTACTACGGACTACATACAGAATAAACGGCGTAGCCTCGCGTATTCTACCTGCTGGCTGTGACAAGCCGGCACTCTTTTGGTAGCCCGGCTTACCATGGACCGAGGACGTGAAGGTCAGCAGATTCCATCCGCGCCCAGCTGCCTCAACGCAACTGGCTCGCTCAGCACGGTTAGCGGGCACTTTCCCCGCTCTTTCCCGCGATAATCATGGATTTCGATACAGAGGAGTCCCGCTGATGTATCAGCATCCGTGGCCGGGGATATATCTCGGCAATGGGTAAGGTAGATGAAGTTCGTAAGGGAGTCCGTCGGCAAATTCGAGTGCCGAATCAACATGGCGCACTACCAGCGACCCGAAAGTGGAATTGAAGTAATACATGCTCGGCCGATTGGCATTGCCCATGATACTAGGCAGATAGGTTCGGGGGAACCTCATCCGACCGTTTCAGGAAGTCTGTCTTCTATAATGAGCTATATATCCCCTCGTGTTGAAAGATATCCATGTTTCTTCCGCAGTCTTCATAGCTGGAACTCGATACCTTCTGTTCCAAGGAAGTATCTTCCTTTCCCCGAATTCCGTTGTCAGTCCATGCATCTTAGGTCCTCCGCTTCTTAGCTTTTGAAATTTCCTCTCAACTTACCCTCAGTCTCCTTGCGGCCGACAAAGTATTTTGATACGATGATGAGTACTTCCATGGCTTGTTTGAATTTCAATGTACGCCTATAATTTCGACGCCGTCTGCGTTCTTGCTCCCTGGCGCTGTCATTCTCTAGACTTGTGTTCATCAAAATGCATGTTTAACATAAGCCAAGCTAATGTGTTTACTCTAGAAATTCTACAATGTCATCAATGGAGAAACGGTATCCAGTACTGCGACTCAGCATGGTATCAACCCGGCCAATAAGGAGTCAAACCCCCCGGTTCCGGTTGCCAGTTCCACCGACCTTGAGAATGCTGTCACTGCGGCTCAAGTCGCGTTTGAACAATGGTCGCGATCCCCGCTTGAAGATCGGCGTAAGGCTCTGTTCGCGTACGCTGATGCAGTGAATGCTGAAAAGGATGGGTTCACCAGTCTGCTTACGAAAGAGCAAGGCAAACCTCTCTCCCAGGCATCAGTCGAAGTTGAGATGGCAGTGGCATGGATCAAGGGCCTGGCGAGCTTGGAGATACCTGAGGTTGTGCTGGAAGATTCATCCGAGCGACGAATTGTCCAACGATTCACACCTATCGGAGTGACAGCCGCGATCGTACCATGGAATTTTCCAGTGCTCCTAGCAATCGGAAAGGTTGTCTCGGCGCTGATCACTGGAAACAGTATCATTGTGAAGCCGTCTCCCTTTACTCCATATACGGCGCTGAAATTAGCCGAGTTGGCAATCCCTTTCTTCCCTCCGGGACTGTTCCAAGCTCTCAATGGGGATGACCGACTCGGGCCATGGATGACGAGACACCCGAGAATCCAGAAGGTCAGCTTCACCGGCTCAACATTGACGGGAAAACGTGTTGCTGTAGCGTGTGCCGAGAGCTTCAAGCATTGTACCCTCGAGCTAGGAGGCAACGATCCTGCTATCATATTCAAAGATGTGGATCTCGACGCCTTGGTCCCTAGAGTAGGTCATTGGTGCATTTTAGTGACATCTTTGCTCGAGTAGAAGAAAGTTGCTGACGCTTGGGTACGGCCAGATTGCTCCACTTTGCTTTTCTGAACTCTAGCCAGGTATGCATGATGATCAAACGCGTCTATGTACACGAAAGCATTTATGAGGCATTCCGAGATAGGCTAGTTGCCTACGTGAAAACCTTGCTTGTCGGTAATGGAGTCCAGCGCGATGTGTTTTTCGGGCCGGTCCAGAATGAAATGCAATACAACAAAGCTCGGGACTTGCTCAGCTCTATCTCTGCAGAGGGGCTCCGTCCAGCGCTCGGTGGCATCGTGGAAGAGTCGGCCGGCTACTTCATTCATCCGACCATTATCGATAACCCACCTGACACTTCTCGTGTCGTTACCGAGGAGGCATTTGCCCCCATTCTACCACTGATGAAGTGGCAGACGGAGGAGGAGGTCATTGCCAGGGCAAACGCTGGCCCGACCGGACTCGGCGGTTCTGTCTGGAGCCGAGATCTCGATCAGGCCCAGCGTCTAGCGTCTCGCCTCGAGTGCGGCACGGTCTGGATAAACTCTCATTTCGCAGTCGCCCCCCACGTCCCCTTTGGCGGTCGTAAGGAAAGTGGCCAAGGCGTAGAATGGGGAGTGGACGGCCTTAAGGCCTACTGCAATCCCCAGACTGTTTGGATCTTCAAGAATGCCTAATCTTTGCCATGAGTTGTAATGGTGTGCTGATGGAGTTTTCCCTCCCTATGGTGAATGTCTCCGCGGTTGTTGCCACGACCAGCGTATGCTGGGTGTTTCCGTTGTCGGATTTCTCCTTTTGAGGCCTATATAGGCCTCTTGCTTCCTTTCTTTCGCTTTCTCTTCTCTAGATGCTCGAATCTAGGACCTTCTCGCTGTTCCTCCTTCTGCTTACTGTGCATGGCCGCTCTGCCACTCGCTGACTATCAGCATCTGTAGTCGCGAAGGACTTTCTCTACCGCATCTCACAGCCCACCAAGTATAAGCGATCAATCTCTCGCAATTTCTCCTCAATCTAACTCGTAGTAGTCTAAAGTGGTGATCCAGTCTAATTGTTGCGGACGCCTCCGCTACCCATTGATCAAGATTCACAGGACGCCGCTAGAATAGATTTGCCACACACCAAAGGGTTAGAAGATGGGATAACTAAGCCATTGTGAGTTATTTCGATTGTAAGCGTTTGTAAGACTTAGTCGCCAAAAGGTGGAACCACCCCGCCAACCAGAATCATCGATGTCCATGACAATGAAGCCGGAAGGGAGTGTACTAGAGGATTGGGAGGGGAAGAGAGCGATGGGTTTACCGTTCCTTTGTAAACGGGAAGAAGAACCTTGACCGGATTTGACGGCCATCTACTCCGTACAGTACCAGAGTACAGGTACAGATACGAGGGTACTGGAGATGTACTGTAATTGAAAGTTTGAAGCGTGGCTCTCACCCCAACCCTATCCCCATCCCCATCCCCACTTTTCTTCTCCCTCCCAACACCCCCGCTCATGCCCATTCCCCACCTCCCATGATAGGTGCAACTGCACTCATTACTATATCTCATTTTACCTTATTTTATATCGGGCCAAACCTATCTGAAGGCTAGGTGATTGTGAACTCTTTGACAGAATCCTGATCTAATCTGCAGGATGCCTCGTCAACGAAGCAATGGCTGCATCCTCTGCAAATTGCGTCGAAAGAAATGCGATGAGAGAAAGCCAACCTGCGTTGCTTGTGCGCGTAATGTCCTTCTCTGTGCCTGGGGCTCCAATCCACCGGCAAGCAAATCTCACAAATCGGGTGGCAAAGGGTTGAAGACCAAGAGCCAGCGGCTGGCACGACATCAATCAGTGCCAAAGAACATGAGAACGGACATGGCATTGTCTGCGGCGCCAAATGCGATACACCCTCAACTCGCCCACCCAAAGACAAATTTCCTCTATTCATTTTTCTACGCCCAAGCAGCACAAACCCTGTCAATAAAAGAGGGGGACGGAAACCCCTTCGTGTATATCCTGATGCCAATGGCTGCTACTAGTGACATAGTCTTTCAAGCCATGCTTGCCTTCAGCGGAGTGATTTATGAACAGCAGCATTCCGATGCCTTAGCCGCAACCACGTGGGGACATTACGCGCAGGCGATTCGCAGCTTGAAACATACGCTCACGCTCTATGTTCATAATCAAGTTGACCGGGGGACTGAACTGGTCGCCACCGTGCTTCTACTGTTGTCCTTGGAGGTAAATAGGATGCCGCACCCTGTGATCTATTGGTCAAAGTACCTACAAGTGTTTTCTGATCTCTCATCCTTTAGGTCATGAAAGCAGACTCCGATGGTCATGCTTTCCGCCATCTCAGGGCATGTCGAGAGTTAGTGTCAGGAACTTTTGCCCACTGCCACAATCCTCACTTGTTGGGCTTCCTGGCAGAGTATTATCTTTACACCTTGTCGCTCCTCCCCTCTAGCTTGATCGAGCCTTCGGATCTGATTGAAGAGGATATCGACTTTGCATTCCGAACCTTGCTGAACAACAGCGTCCCTGCAACCGGCGTTTTATGTGGATGTGCCCCGGAGATGTTTCGCACCATATCGAAAGCCACGATGGTGTCACGTCGTTTGTATGATGAGTTCACTGATGAAGCTGGCCCTTCGGTTGAATGTCTTCAGGAACGCCTCGATCTTTACGACTACATCCAGTCTTGGTTGCCAGAACATGCCGACGAGGACTATGCCATGATAGCGCGCGTCTATCAAACAGCCCTTCTGGTTCTTCTTTTGCAGGCTGAGCCCGGAGCTTCTGAAAATATGGCTATGAATGAACTGGTCACGAATCTCATTAGTCTCCTTCGGATAATTCCGGTCGAGTCCAGCACAACCACAGTTCTAGCTTGGCCACTTGCGACCGTGGCACCGTGCGTCGAGTCTAGCACAGACCAGGAGTTTATCCAACAGTACTTTGGTGCCGTTGTACAAAAATACCGATTTGGCAATCATCGCCAGACCGAGCAACTACTTCAGCTGATTTGGTCGGGCCGAGATTTGCAGCAACAGGGTCCATATTGTATACCTCGCGCGATGGAAGTACTGGGCTGTCGATTTTTACTCTGTTAGTCATGGCTCCACATGTGATGCGCCGCGTCTTTCGGTTTCTCTTTTCGAGAGGGAGACGGGGGGGACTTCCATTTCATTGCTTATGTTCGAGAGTAGACTATCGTTCCTGTGGATGTAGGTCAGGTTATATATAACACTATTTATAATTGATTGGGGCCACTAGGAAATAGTGAGCTTGCTTTCAGTAGCGTGGGCTAGAGATTCAAGAGAGGGCCTCAGATAAAAGATCGTCGTAAATACCACCTACGTTCTCAAGTCAGCGGCCCAGTGAACCTTTCTAGAACCTAGTACAAGCATCCTGAATTTTCCATTGGGACAATCTAAGTCACAAATCTTCCTCTACTTGGTAGAGGCTCAGAGCCGTATCAGCGTAGGGCAGTCAAAGCTTGCGTAAATGTTAACCTCATGCTGACTTCTACTAGTCAGCCACACTGGCTCGTGCCCTACTCTACATGGACATGAGACACCTGGACCGCCGCTCCCCATATTCAGGATTCAATTTGCGGGGAGGGATTAAACCTCAGACTTTGCATGAGGCATAAAAATGCGGGGGCTGACTCAGTGATAGGGTACCGTGGGCTAGTACTACTAAATCCGTGGTATCCACCCAGTAATGTACCAGCTACGGGTAGATAAGCGCGGGTCTGCAGCAGATTGGCTGGTGCGAGATAATTCCTCTGGGTTAGACCAGTTTGATTTGGATTGGAAAATGGAGAATGGAGAGGTTTCATCCTTCGGGACTTGACACCGGCTGTTCGAGTGACACTTTTGGAAAAGCTGACTTTTGAAGATTGCGGGAACTGATATGATGCATTCAAGCAATGACGTGCCTATTGACTACGAGAGTTTGACCCTTTCTTGTGGTCTCTTGAAGCCACTCTTTCCCCAGCACACTCATGCTCTGGGGTGGCGCCTCCTGTTTGATTTATAAAACGAGCTCCCTGGAGGTTTCCGCTCCGAGTCGGTATACTTCTTCTTTTCAACATCAAGAGTCCGTTTTTTACAACTATCCTCTTGTCATCTTTGAATTCTGTCGTTCCCTGCCGTTTGGACTTGTCAGAATGACCACGTCCTTCAGCCCATCCGAGACGGGATCACCGAGCCCAGACATGCTAACGAAGAACTTCTCTCGAATGTGAGTGACCCTTATTTCCCGGAAAGACTTCACCAGAACACATACTAACACATCCTTCGCTCCGTTAGATCCCTCCTCGGCTTAGCATTCATTACCTTAAACGTAAGCCAGTAGGCCGTGGAACAGTTTCCTCGAGGCGATTATCTGCTGCTGATCAACACCCGTTGCAAATGCCAGTCATGGACCGCTTTTGCCTCGGCTTTGCCGTTGAGCCTCACATCCGGAGGCCCCACGAGCATCATCTGGGGTACGAAGCCTTTTAGCCCTGGTTACAAGGATTTGCGAGTACTGACCCATCCCCGAACCAGGTCTCTTGACCTCGGGCTTTTGTACACTTTGTATCGCCGCCTCTCTGGCAGAATTTCTATCCGCATATCCTACGTTAGTCTCTCGGCATCCCATTTCATCTTTCATCAACAATCCACTCCTTCGTAGCGGGGAAGATTCAAGGAAGCTAGTTGGGCGACGCTGATATTCGGACTTGGACAGTGCCGCAGGACAGTACCGTTGGGTGGCTGGTAAGATTTCCTTGCGGGTGATCTATAGTTAAGTGGTTTGGAAAGATATTGACAGACTTTCCGCGTCACTTTTATACAGCCGGTACGCGACCCTAGTGACTCTGCTCGATTAACGTCTTGCTGATTGAAGCGCCAGTTTCCTGGGATGACTACAGGCGGGTGCTCTCATGGGTTACGGCTTGGGCGAATGTCACCGCGTGGGTATGTAAGATCCCTAGCATACCACGGGGCTATGCCTGCGCCATCAAGACTTATCAGGAATCTACAGATCTGTCTCTGCGCGACGGCGTCGCTTTTTGGGAGCCAACTAGTCATTGACATTGTAATCCTAGCTCATCCGGTAATACACTCTTCTCCTGTCCTCAGAACTTTACAATCTCCCCTTGATTAGGGTCAGATCTATCCCTGACCTTGCTCTCTAGGAATTTAACTTGCAAAGATGGCATGTGTTTCTCATCTATGTCGGCTTTAACATGATAGCTCTTTTGGTCAACGCCTTCTGGAACAGAATTTTATCCGCGCTGAACAGAGCAGCCTGTAAGGTTTTTCCGTACAGACGATGACTGGGTTTATACACGCATGACTAATGCAATAAATATCTAGTGATCTGGTCCCTCTGTGGCTTCTCCATCATTTTCGTGACTGTCCTGGCTTGCGCATCGCCAAATTACAATTCTGCGAGATACGTTGCAGCTAGCACAAAGCTGTGTCGCGTGGTCCTACTATTTCCACATCGCGAGTCGATCTGACGGTTCCGTCAGATCTGTGTTCACGAGTTTCATCAATGAGACTGGATGTAAGTTCTCTTAAGTTCTGTTAGATCGTCTCCTTCGCCCTGGTTTCAGTATAGCTAATTATTGGCAACCAGGGCCCGATGGCTTGGCTTGGCTTTTGGGGGTACGCCCAACACTTTTGCTCTATCTTTGAACTTGAAGACTGATCCACAGTTTTCAGCTGCTCCAAGGTGGACTGTGCCTTGTCGGAGTTGTGCGTATTCGCGCCCATAGATACTTGATATTCTTGACTAAATAATTGGGACCAGGACGCAGTTGCGCACATGATCGAGGGTAAGACCCTTCTGTATTCCGTGCTACGGCCTTCCTCACCTAACATCAATCATTCTTTGACCAGAAATTCCCAAGCCAACCGTAGATGGACCGCTGATTATGGTCGCGTGTGTGGCAATTGGCCTCACCACCAGCTTGATCTTAATTATCGCTCTTCTCTTCGTGTCTCGTGATATAGACACTATCATCACCTCTGGTGCAGGGCCTCTACTTCAAATCTTTTTTGATGCCACAAACAGTGAAGTAGGGTCCATTTGCTTGCTAGTGTTTGTATCTCCCCGCGATTTCACGTCACTATGTCTGACAGCTGATATTTTCTTTCTGCAATCCTCCAGTTTCCCGATTGGGTGCCTTTTGCTAGGCGTGGTAGCCATAACTACCACGTCTAGTCGGATGATCTATGCTCTTGCTCGGTACGGACAAGTCTCAAATTCAAATTACTGGAAAATGAACTTTCCTTATCTCTTCCAATTTATCCTTGTACTAATTGAGCATACAGAGACTCTGGGCTACCATTCTCTTCTGTTTGGACTACTTTTAATGCCAGGCTCAAAACACCTGTGAATTCCCTGGCTCTAAATACTGCAGCAGTAATCTGCTGCGGCTTTATCTTCCTCGGCTCTTCCAGGTATAGTCTACTGCTGCTGGAGCCATTGTCCACGTTCACGAGATTTTGTCCAACGGCTAACCTATGATATCACTCATCTAGTGCATTCAATGCACTGAGCTCTGCGACCGTCATATGCTTTGACATATCCTATTGCCTCCCGATTTTGATTCATTGTATACGGGGGCGCAAATTGCTCCCTGTGGCCCAATGGAGCCTCTACCCTGTCGTTGGGTGGATTGTGAATATTGTATATTATATCTTTTCTATTCATTTCTCCCTCTGGCCCTTTACCCACGACTAATCCTGAAATAGGTGTCAATCGTGTATATTTCATTTACGACTGTGCTCTTCATATTTCCACCTGCCCGTCCAGTAACGGGTTCGACAATGAGTGAGGATGTCCGTGCTCGAGCGAATTTCAAAAACTTGACTAACGGACGGTTCTGTTGTTTGGTAGACTATGCCATTGCGGCTACCGGCGGATTCGCGTTGCTATCAGCAATCGACTGGTTTGCCAGGGGGCAAAAGCGCTTTATGCTGATCGTGGTGAATGCAGAAACTGAATTCCCTCAAGCCAGGACGTCAATTGGTCCGATCAAGCCGGACGTATGATTCGGGGTTTCGGACTGGGATATTGGAGCAACTGTCTGTTAAGCTTGTTGCTTGAGTTCAAATTGGCACTGTTTTGCTCAAGGTACAATGCCATCGCTCGCCATTTTTCGCCTTGGTGGCTTTATGCCGAGCAAATTAACTGGCGGGTGGGAGAGAATATTGGAAAAGGTTGAATCGAATTATGGTCTATATAATTGAAACCTGCATAGCACACCAATGCGTAGTTAGTCTCGGCGGTTGGGCCAAGTCAATTCCGACCATTCTTCGGCTGGAAACATTAGTCGTAATGAGTGGAAGGTTAGAAAGAGGCGGTTGACAGCCACCTGCACACAGTCGAATTGCTGGCATCTCTAGTGGAAGATCACCAGGTTATTCCCCGCAAATAATCCTGCTACTACAGGAGGGTTGGCAAAATGTATCATCCAAAGGTATGGGCCTCGATAGTGATACTACAAGTAGTTGTGGGCCACTATCCAATAAATCACCTATTGACTCCCACAATGTAAGCTTCCACATCAGGTATCGTCTAAGAAAATGTTTCTTCACGAACATGCGTATGTGGAATCTATTCTCGTGGATGGCGAATTCGAACTGACTAGGTTGAGGACTTGCAAACAGCTCGTGGGCGCTCAGTTCGCCGGATCATTACGACTTTTGCATCAGGCAGGACAGTTTTCCCAAGTCATGAGCCATGGGGTCCGTGGCGCAAAGGCAAGCCCCCTCCGCGGTCCAACAACCTCATACTGATTCCTCGCGCTTTTACGCCCGCCTCCAATCCTTCGCCTCGACCATTAGTTAGTCTATCAATCATGCGCACAGTGTTATTGAGCGCTCGTTCGGCGGATCGTATTAGCAACCAGAAGGCTCTGGTGGAGTGCGTGGCAGCATATGGATGTTCCATGCGCAGGGGCCCCTGCCAAGAACCCACTTAGCTGTTTCTGTTAATTGTATCCGCCAAGATAAGAGGTCGTGGACGATTGACTGTGATGCTTTTCCTGGTCGTAGTCTAGTCGTCTGTGACAGCGAGAGTATGACCGAACGAGTTTGCTTCTCATATCGCTGAGAATTTATTGACGCGTTTGAGCGAAGGAATATTGTGTACCGCCGCACTCATCTTGCGTTTCACCCCGAAAAGGTGAACTCGAATGCAACTTACCCAGTGAAACTGTTTACAAACATCCAGATGACATGTAGCTGGTTAGCCTTGATGACACCCCTCTGCATCTTCTTCCTTTGGGCACCCACCCATCCCGCTGCTCCTACGTATAGGGACCCACCGTCATCGTTAGGCTGTTGCAGTGGGATCTGGCAGGCCCCTCACCCAGCAGCCGCATCGCCCCCAGACCCCCGCCCCCGCCGTTGCAGAGGGACAACTAGTAGATCGTTTAGTGCATCACAGCCGCCTGCCTCTGATGGTCCTAGTTGCAGTGTCCTAATCTGCTGGCATGATGGTGCAATTAGCCTGCCCCTGTTGGGATTTCGCCTGCACTGCTGTTGAGCTAGGTGACCTGTCTTCCACACTAGCCCCCAGGCTCCCAGGATTAATGCCTGCCATGCACTATAATCTAGGCTATGCCCTAGACTGCACTATAATCTCCCTAGCTTTAGCGCTCATAAGATGGTTCCTGCCAGGTGTGGTAGCTCCAGCACTAGAGGCATACCTAAACAGCAGAGATATATATCACTGCATCCTAACTACTGGTTCCTGGCAAATCCACTGGTATCGAGCTCGCTGTGTAAGTACCCAGCTACCACCCCAGCGCCACCAAGTATTACTTGTCCTGGAATGCCGGCGGGTACGGGCTTCATATGTCTGTCCACTATATAGAGCGAGTAATTGGGCCATGTCTGAAAACCTGGACTAGTAGTGTTGTCATCACCATCATAGCTGACTCTTCTGCCTGTGGGAACAGAATGTGATCTCTGTGGGGCCATAGCAATCGATCAATTCCAAATCTGATTTCTCCAGCTGTCGGAAGGCTAGAATCAAGGTATCAGTCACCGCTTCCCCTCCACTGACGGCGACACGCCGGCTTGAATGTCGCAGGCCGTCCGTGTCACCATAACGAAGCCAGCTGATGTACTCCGACGGAGTAGCTTTCGTAAAGGTGATTCCCTCAGTAGCGATCAGAGGGGATATGGCCTGTGGGTCGCCACGTAGCTGTTTTGGGACAATTCGCAAAGTACCACCGTTTGACAAAGCCAGGAAGGTCTGAGATAGAGACATGTCGAAACTGTAGGAGCTTTGCTGCAATGCGATTTCACTTCCGTCGCGGAAATCCCATTTGTCTGTGGAGGTTTCAATAATATTTCGGAATGTTTGATGCTGCATGAGGATCCCTTTGGGGACTCCAGTAGAGCCACTGGTATACATAATCACCGCCGTGGAGCTGGGACGGGCGGCGTTTGGTACTTTGGGGTCGTCAGAGCGGGAGAAAATTTGGTCGACATTCACACTGGAGCCAGGAGTTTTGAGGGACGCAATATCCGACGCACTGATATTGTTCACCAGCACCAAATCAGGCTTGCAGTCTTGCGCAATCGTCGCGAGGCGTACCAGTCCCATACGACTGTCCAAGGGAATGTATATCGCATAGAGACGCAAGATTGCAAGGAGAGAACATATCCAGTCGGATCTTGGCTCCATGAAAACGCCGATCCTGCTTCCGGGACCAGCGCCCCGCTTCAAAAGAGCCATGGCAAGGGAATTCACTCTCTGATCCATCTGCGTGTAGGTCGTCTTCCGCCCGTTACCATCAATAAGAGCCACATGCGTGCCATAGCGCTGCACCATAATGTCAACACGTTCGGGTATTGTTTCTGGCCATTTGTACTTGTATACGGGACCTATGAGTAGATGCAATGTCAAGTTAGGGGAAGTCCTTGAAAGACACAAGTGGAAGAGAACTGGCCGTGTCCGAGTTTTATGGAAAACATTTCACTTCCTCGGCTTCGTCCAATGCCGGTCCGTCAAACCGTAGTGCGGGATTGCGAGCAAATACAGTGAGAAGATTCCGATAAACGCGGCCCAGAACATCCACGTGTTGTGCATCATACAGAACTGATTGACCGGCAATGATGACATGGCACTCTCCATCAGGATTATCAATAATATCCAAACTCACGTCATACGGAGCTTGGCCTTGTTCGAACGCAGTGGCCGTACTCTCGTAACTACAGAAGGTCCGACTCTCAGAGACAGCTGCCCGATAGTTCAGCAGAACCTGGAAAGGGGGCTGTGGGAAGCAGATCGAGGAACTCCAAGCTCGTTCACGATGACATCGAACGGGACCTTGGAATGAGCGAAAGCGTTCAGTGACTTTTCCCGGACAATGTGCAAAATATTGGTAAAAGTGTCGTCCATCTGAGGCGTGAAACGGAGCGGCAGGAGGTTCAAATACAGGCCCACGCTCTGCGACATGTCTTTTTGGTACCGGTTTGCAGAGCTGATGCCAATGCTGAGATGCTCCACGTCCACAAGGCGGATCAACATGGTGTAAAAGACAGCCAAGTGGAAATGAAACGCTGTCACTTTCATCGGATGGCACGTATTTTGAATGCATTCCAGTAGTGCAGAATCAATACGGTATTCCGTCGTGTGAGTTTCATACGCCGTCAAAGTGACCCGGGCAGACGTCCGAGCCATAGGAAGGGGGGTGCAAGGGACAAGGGATCACCTCGAACTCCCTCTTCCAGAACGCAATATCACCAGCCCACTCGCCAGCCTGGTATTCTCGTCTCTGTTGCTCTGAGAAATCAGCGTACTGAAGGATCCGGGACTTAGGAATTTAAATTCGTAAGCCATCTGCAGGTCCCCGAGAAGCACCTCTCAGGCTTGCTCCATCCATGTTAATGTGGTGATATGCAATGATGCGCTGGAACGAAATACTTGACTTTTGAAAGAGGAGAATTCGCATGTTCTCCCCTTCTTCCACCTTGAATACATAACCTCTGATTTCTTGATAGAGCTCATCAACTTCGTCGTCACCCGATATAGCTCGCTGCTCCAGAATCAAAGAAGAAGCTACAAGAACCTCTTGCTTTATGGTACCCTCTTGCTTTATGGTACCCTCTTGCTTTATGGTACCTTGTGTATCATCGGTGACAAACCGCGTACGCAAAGCCTGATGGGCTGTCCAATGACTTGAAAGCACGCGCAAAATCATCCACTCTTAAGGGGCCGTCAAGGCGAATAGAAACCGTTATGTTGAATGTGGGTGGATCTTCGAGATAGTGTCTCAAGAACCAAAACCTGGATTGAGCAAATGAAATGGGGACACTCTTCTTAGGCTCCACGGCTATGGTCATGGGGATGATGTGGCTGGTAGTTATGGACGATTTTGAGGAGGAGAGCTCTGTCTTCCCTTCCGATTCATCGATCTCGGACCACGAAGAGGACGACATGCTGGAAACTAGAACGTCTTGATCAGGACGATGTTTGCTGTCTGTGCTCAGATCAATTGTTGCAGATTCCTGCAGGGAAGAGTCTGAATTCTCCGATACATTTTCTACGCTAACTGAGCTCACAGACTTGGTCGCGTCAGGAGAAGGCGTCGCTGCAGGCAGATCAATCTCATGCCGACCGTGTGTGCTGTGCCCTAGTGTAGAGGCATTGTCTTCAGCTACTGGCAACTGTTGACTCGCGACTGATGCGGAGTTGCTGAAGTCGTTTTGTGCCATACCAGATTTGTTGGAATGCTGTGGTTGCTGGACTGTCTGCTTGGGCTTCGAAGGCTTCGATGATGCGTTTGGATCCAGCTTTGGCGTTAATTCTTTAGGGAGCAGTTCCTGGGCCTGGACAAGGATTTCGTCCACTGTCGCTCCACTCAAGATCTTGAGAACACGTATTTCGACGTGTAATTCCTTGATAAACCACGACCGGATGTCTAGCGCAACCAGAGAGTCAATCCCCAGCGTGTCGGCCGTCAGACCGGCAATTGGTCGATCATCCTCCACTTATAAGTTGGTCTTCAGCTTCATAACGAACGCATCTGCATCATTGATGTAAGTCCATCTTTGCGCTTTGACACCAAAAGACAAGGTATACCTAAGATTATGTCATGCACATCCGCCAGACTAACGGCTTCTAACAGGCGCACTTTAACAGGAGCCCAGGATGTGGAGCCCTCAGCAACAAGTTCTGTCCTTCCAGTTTTCTTAATGCAATGCTGAAACATGGGGTTGTTAAACCAGGTGATCACTTGCGACTCATCGTTGTCGATGATCTTCAACCCAGTAGATAACTCGTGACGACATCCCCATTGATGCTGTCGAGCATACAGGGCTTTCGCAAAAAGCCAGCAGAAGTCATGCTCTGATAGCCAGAGATTACCAACCTTGGGTAAGAATTCCGGCTGGGCCAGAGTCGGTTCTCGAGTCACATAACCATTACCAAAAATAGCACCAATATGCACAGCGGACGCGTTCAGCCCCTCCTAGCAACATTGGTTTGCAAGGCTTGCCATGAACATATTCGCCGCCGCATAGGCTGACTGACCAGGATTGCCACTCACTGCATCCATCGACAAGAAGAAGACAAAGAATTCCAGCTCAATGTGTCTGAAGATTTCCTCCAAGTAGGTGCTCCCCTTGATTCCGGGAAGGAATACCTTATTCATGCGCTCCATGTCGAGGTCCAAGAACATGGTATCATGAAGACATAGCTCCCTGGGCCACTCCAGCTCTTAGGAATTCTTGATAGACTCTCCTGTAAACAGACTGGACGGAGTCACACTTAGATATATCACTAGTTAAGAGATAGTCAGAGCTAAATGGCGTTCAAAATCCTTAAAACTCGAAACCAACAGTTTTAACTGAACTTGAATCAGTTTCACCCTACCTAAACTAAAACTGAAGTAATTCCCTAGGCTAGGAACCGAACCCTCACCACTGTGAGTTCGGTGAGGGTTGGATTTGATTTTAGTGGTTCGGTTATGCAACTCTAATCTCCATCTATCTTATTTAATAATTTATTAAACCTTGATTCAGGTGTAAAAGAAGATAAATTAATTAATGTTAGATTATTCTCAAGATCATAGAAGTTATTTAATAATAACATCCTGAACTAGTTCATAACTAGTTAAGAAGATAAGATATATAAAAGTTCAGAAAGTATTATAGAAGTTCAGAAGATGAATAAGGAATTTTATATATTATATAATAAAGGTTGGATGACCCACTTAATAATTTATCCAACCTACTTCTAGTTTATCCAACAATTCCAACCCTTTCCGAAGGGTCGGCTGACCTGCATTCGGGAGATCTTCTCCCATGTAGGTGATATATAGTTATTAATATTTGAATAGAGTGGCATAACCAACCTGCAAAGATCGAACCTAAACCTCACCGAACTCGCAGCAGTGCGGGTTTTATGTCATGACACTCAACACGCCAAGGATGTGTTTGTTAATTGATGAACTGTGTCTGTTACGCACTGTATCGAAGCTCAGGCTCCTGGGAATATGTGGGTCGGAAGGTTTTGTTTTATGAATATAAGTCCATCGCAGTAGCATCTAGCATGGTTAGCCAAGGTATCTTTTCCGACTCGATCTGCAGAGAATGTATCTCTTATGGAAACATGTGGAAATGACTGCCGAGGTTCTCTGTGATCCCGCCAAGTAACTGTTGCAATAAATGGATAATCCTCCCCGAATGCAAATCCTCACGTTAAATTTAGTTTCTCCTGTCTGTGGTGTTTCCATCCCTCAGTCCAGATTCGATCTCATCCCAAAATGGCGTTCAATATTTCAATGCCCCCTTTCCCTGGCCCACAACTGCTGCTTGGCTCGCTACCTTTACTGGTGCTCTCAGAGTCAAGATCTCGGTCCCATGCCGGAACAATGCTTTTTAAAATGCTCTCCTCAGTAGCCTTTCTTATTGGCCCGCTTCTCACAACCTCTAGTGAATGGTCCCCATATCGACTTTCGATTACAATCGGCCTTGTCTTCTCCCTTGCTGGAGACTTCTTCCTGCTCCCTTCCCGAGGCGAGTTTTACAATTCGTCCTCTTCAGTCCAGGGCCAGGGAAAACCAATTTCGACCTTCTTCCAGCTGGGGGTAGTCGCCTTCGCATTGGCCCATATCGCCTACATTGTTGCCTTCCTCCGAGACACCAAAGGCATTTCGTTGGGCACTCTTACAACTACATTCATCGCGACCATGCTCGTTGCGAAGTGGCTCGGTGTGATCTACCCACCTGAACAGTCCTCGGCTCGTAGCAACTTGCTCAACCTCACCATTGCTCCCGATATGAAGCCTCTGGTATTGGTATATGCAATGATCATCAGCTCGATGTTCGCTGTTGCTCTGGCTACAAATCCGTCGACTCCAACCACAACCTGGCTGTCCCAACGCGGGCTAGGGGCTGTCATGTTTGTGGTTAGTGACGTCTTTGTTGCGAAAGATGCGTTTGAAAGTTCGTCTGGTCCCGGGAAGCTGGGCTGGCTTAGGATTGCAGTCGGATATGGTCTGTACTTCTGGGGGCAGATGGTCCTAGCAGGAACAGTAGAGACGACGTAGCTTCGAGGTTTCTTTCGAGCCACTTCGTTATCAATCAAGTAGCGGAAGACCAAAAATGGTTTCATTAGAGACTATCCCAAGCAAATTGCTTCTAAAAATTACTGTACAATTGGAGCCATCCCGGTTGGGCTGCGTCGTTGCTTCTTCTTCAATCAATGCTACATGATTTTGCCCTGCAAAAGAGTATGTTCTTCGGATACCATATATACAAGCTTTCCGAACCAGATTTCCTCTCCTCCTGTTGACGACCAGTGATACAAGTTTGAGTTTTATTTGTGTTAAAAATTCTGTTTGTATTCGAGCCTTGACTGACTCTTCCATGCCTTCTCTTTAACCGATTGCTCCTTCCACTTAGAATCCTTGGCAACGATTTTCGTGGCTTCTTTGGCCAGCACACGAATGATACAAAGTCCTGCGATTGATTACTATAGCCCATCCTCCAACTGACCTCGTAAATCCTGGAACCCTTGCAATTTTGAGTCAGGTGGTTCTGGCTAATCGCGAGTAGTATGGCAATTGGCATTCATCACCAGCACGGCGCTGGGGTTGTATTCTATCGCTTGAAGTCTGGGTCCAATTAAACGACGAAGGTGCGCTCTGTCCAGCATCCTTACTTTGCAAACGTGGCGAGGCGCCGATTCCGTCGCAGTCTCGCGCGTATCCCGCAGACCCCAATTGGTTGTCCGGGGTGGCCGATCGGACCTGGATTGTTTACCCCTCGTCTGGCCAAGGTGAGGGAAATCCTTAACCATAAAGCGGCCCTGCTGTTATTGATCTCATCGTCAAATAACCACAAACGTGTCTATGGCGCTGGCTATCCCCGCTGAAGTCTGCGAACTTGTACGTTCTAGCCGTGGGAAGGTGTCGTGGCTAACAGAGCGCACAGGTCATCTCGCACATCCTGACACCGGACGATTTCTACTGGGCACCGAGTCGTATCCTCCCATACACGCTGGAGCCAGATGTCCGAGCCTGCTTGATCAGCCTGCGTCTGGTGAGCAGAACATTCTGCACCAGCGCTTCCCCTCAACTGTTCCGACATATTGTCGCGCTGGCCCACTCGTCAACGGCCAGCAACTGTACAGTGGCAGGTAGTTTAATCACTGAAAGAGTTTTTATGATACCTCCGGTCAGTTAATTCTGAAGAATGCACCTGGAAGTCGTCATTATGATCGTCATGCGCTAGGTAGAAATAACCTAGTAGGATCAGGTCTAGGATCCTGTAATTCATAACTGCCTTGCCCCTTCGATGAACTGGCCGAGCTTGGAGGAACTTATTGCACCAGCAGTTAAACTGTGGGTTCCTCTACGCATAGCTCTAAATATATAAGGACTCTCATCCTCCTGGTCCTGGCATACTTAGATTACTATCTCATTCCTCTCCCTTCCCTCTTCCCTTAACACCTCATCTTCATCCCACTCATCGCCCTCCTGTTCCCGTTACACAAGTGCCCAGAATCACCCATCCCCGATATCAGCCGTCTAATTCTCCCCAGATGACTAGTGTAAGTTATTGCCTGGACTCCTTTTATCCCTGGAACCCTTTTCATGACAACCCAGAAGCCCTGAATATGCCTGCTAAACTTTGTCGTTACCCAAGCCCTATCTCCATGACAACCACCCCGACTTCTTTATCTTGTGATGATGCACCAAAGACGCAGAGTTATGCTGACATAGCTTGACGACATCCTCTTCCTGCCCGCCTACCGGAAGAAGTGTGCTTGAATGCTGGAACTAAGTCACAGTCTCAGTCGACCCTGTCCGATTTCAGAACTTTGCAGCAAACTATCACTGTGGAGCATGGCCCCCCGAACTTCCTATTCCAAGGAAACCGTCTAAACTCCGGAAACTGAAGATACCACCGCGCACATCGATCCCGCAATTTTGAATGACAAGCTGGCCATAAGTGTAGAATATATAACTGAGGCTTCACCCTGCCAGGAGCTTGCTCTTGCAGGCATTACAGAGAGCTCGTCTTCACAAGCTTTAACTGTCGACACTATACTCCCAGCCCCACAACTCGGACAACATGCCTCAGGGGGCTCTGCCACTTCGAATAGGCACACCACTTCAGTGAAGAAGAGCTGTTATATCCGAAAGAGACCCATGCGAAATGGCTCTAGTCGGCTTCCCTTACGAGAAACTAGTCCTCGCAGGTGGGAGACTCATGGCCCTACATTTTTATCTTTTCATTCTTAATTCCTCGCAATGTCATTGCAGGATCGGTTGCAGTTCGTTTCCTGGTTGTTTCAGAGCGCCCTATCCCAATGCCTTTCTCAGTCTAACAGCCCCGGTACCATGCCTCTATCAAATTGTGGAAGAGGCTGTGATCATAATACAATGTCTGATCCTGTGCACTAAAGCTCAATTATCGAGGGCATGCATTCTTTCAACCAGTCTTCTCACCGTGGATTAGAGTGTGGACCGCAGAACCACGGAGAATCACCACAGATCAAAGACAAAGATCAACAAGACGATGATCAGCTTAAGTATGAAATCAAAAAGATCCTCGCACATAGACAAGGCGCGCTTGGTTCCATCTCATACCCCGTCAAGTGGAAGGGCTATGATGAGACTGAGGCCACTTGGGAACCAGGGGTTTCACTGCGAGATACGGTTGCATTAGAGGAGTATGAGTTACAACTCATCACCGCGGACAGAGCTCATGCAATACATAATTGCAATTGCGGCACCGGCCGTGCACAAGGCAGGAACCATTCTTATTCCCATCATACAGACTCAGTTGCCAAGCATACATCTATGCGCCATAAACCTCCTACAAGAAAATGTTTACCATGGTCTCCGGATGAATTCACCCTTCTGTCAAGCTCAGAGTCGAAGACAATCTCCCTCGGCAATCTATCGGGAATTCTCACGGAAATTCCCTGGTCGGACTAAGGGCTCGCTCCAAGTGTATTAGAGCACAAAGAGAAAGGGAAATTTACAAGATGTGTGATTTGACTGATAGCGATGCTTGGTTCACCTGTCATCTCAGGGGAAAGAAGAAAGGGAGTAGTTTTATTGGGGTTGCCTCATGTGATATTAGGGCGAGGAAAAGGACCTGACAGTATTTACATGGGGCTCACGCCCAGGGACTCATAGGAGCAGAGGTCTGAAAGCTGCTTCATCAAGCGGCACCAGACCCTGTCTCAGACTTGCGGTCTGTCATAACTTTAGGGCTCGATATGGACAATAACTTGATTAATAATAATACCCTCATCTCAACAATTTCAACCCCCATGAAGTTCGATAGTGTAGTTCATCAGAATCAACACTCTTTTCTTCTCATCATTGGCTTCCCCTTTTGAATCCGTTGCCCTGGCTGGCTAGTAAATCCAGTGTATTTCCATAGCTATATACCCAGATTGCTACTAGATTCGTAGCCACCTTTGGAAGCTATTTCGAGTTACACGTCATGCCATGCCGTCCGTTCGGAACATATCTTATCTACAGTAGCCATCCGACAGCGAAGACGCCTCTTACTGGAGAAAATTCATGCCTAAAAGACATGAAAGCGTTTGCTCTACCAGTCCTATGACAAGTAATTACTCAGTTGAAGTCTGCCCTGACGAGCCCACTCTGAGCACACATGGCTCGGAAAATCCCCCCAGCTTCCCAAAGGCGCAAAGGCGTGTCCGATTCTACAATCCGCCCATTGTCCATCACACACACCCGGTCATAATTGATGATTGTCTGCACCCGGTGCGCAATACAAAGTAAGGTGCGCCCCTCGAAACGCGTCCGGATGGTCTCTTGGATGCGATGGTCGGTCTCCAGGTCCACTGAGGACGTCGCTTCATCGCAGACCACAATCTGACTGCCACGTACGAGTGTTCGCGCTAGGGCCATCAGCTGGCGCTGGCCCAGCGAGAAATTCAGTCCCTCCTCTTCTACGGGCCCATCCAGACGGATACGTGAGGGATCCTGGCTGTCGCTCTCAGACGTGAGTCCCACCTGCCGAAGCGCGGTCGACAGTTCCAGGTCAGTGTGCTCGTGAAAGGGATCGAGATTGGACCGCACTGTGCCCAGGAAGAGGGTTGGGTCCTGCGGAATGATAGAAAGTCGGGACCGGAGCTCGTGGCGCGGGACCTGGGCGATATCGATGCCGTCAATTTTGATGCTCCCGCTCGCGAGGTCCGTCAGCCGGAACAAGGCCGTCATTATGGAGGACTTGCCGGCCCCAGTGCGGCCGACGATGCCAATCCGCTCGCCTCCAGTGACGTACAGATTCAAGCCTTTCAGAACCAAAGGTAATTCGGGCCGGTACCGCATGTCGACCTGATGAAAGTCGATGGCGCCTGACTGAGGCCAGGACTTGTCAATTGCAGGGGGAGAATCGTGGTCCCCGGGATCTTCCTCTTGCGCCAAACTGGAACCGTAGAAGTGAACCCGCTCTGTGGCGTTCATAGCGTTTTCGACCTCGGCAAACTGTTTTACCAGTAATTGAATCATTTGCACGATGGCGAGAATATATGAGAAGACGAGGCCCGAGATACTCGGGGAGACGACATGGCGCAGGGTGACTACCAGCACTCCGGTGGTGGCGACGAGGAGGATAGAGATGGTGTCCAGGCGCGTACTCAACCACCGCTGATTGCTGAAGGTCAGGTAGTATGCCGAGTTCATTTTATCGATAGTCTGGCGCAGAGTGTGTGTGAAACGGCCCTGTAAGCCGTAGGCGCGGATGCTAGCGGTGCCAGAGATGGCTTCGCTAAATCGCGCAAAGACAGTGGACCGCAGCACTGCTTCATGCCGCTTCAGGTCCCGAGCTGAGGCGCGATAATACGCGGCCGCTATGAGGAACAAGATGAGCAGTGGGACGATGGCGATCCCGAAGTAGTGAAAATAGACGATGAGCAGAATGAAGACACTCAGGATCATGGCCAGGGTGTAAAGATACATGCGAATAGCGTCGGCCAGAGCGTTGTCCATTGTGTCTATGTCCTTGGAGAAGCGATTGACGATGCGACCTAGAGGCGTGGTATCGAAGAAGGCCATCGGGGCGCGCAGGACACATGCCAAGGCGCGCGCCATCATTGCCTTGCTGGCCCGGGTGGCCATTAGTGAGACAGACAAGGAGAACGAAAACATCAAGATCGCCTGACTGAGCCCTAACCCGACATAAACGCCAATGTATTGGGCCCGAGAAATGTTGAACTTGTGATCCGTCCAGTAAGACAACCAGAGGTTGGTCAAGATGTTTGATGTCTGGGCTAACGCGAGCAATAGGAGCGGAATCAGTCCGTACCAAACCGAGCCCGACGCACGGAGATATGCTAAGTAAATACCCCAACGAACACTGCCGACGGACCGGTCTTCCTCCTGGATGAGCGTTCCCGGATCGGAGGTCTCTCCTTTGAGCCCTGGCTCGCTCTTCCGAGGTGACACTGCTTGCGTCGCTTCTTCGTCGCTGTCTGCGCGACTGGTCGAAGCCAACAGGTTCCGAAAGTTGATGTTAGCAGCCATAAGATTCTCATACGAATCATCTGCCTGGATGCGGCCCCCATCCAGCCAGATAATTCGATCACAGCGTTGGAGGATGTCGTGCCGATGTGTTACCAGAATACGACAACGGTTGCGTAGCAGCCCGCAGATAGCATGCTCAAAAAGATGCTGTCCCACATGAGCATCCACAGCAGAAAGAGGATCATCCAGAAGAACGAGTGGGCTGTCAAAGTAAATCGCCCGCGCCATGTTCACGCGCTGTCTCTGCCCCCCGCTTAGAGTTATTCCCCGCTCTCCAACCTCAGTCTCATCGGCAGAGGGCAGCATGTCAAAGTCAGCCCGCAGCGCACATGCCTCAATCACCTGATCATACCATTTGCGATCCATCTCTTTGCCGAACAGGATGTTGTCACGGACTGTGGCATTCTGAATCCACGCAGATTGGGGGCAAAAGGCCCTTGCGGCTCCCATGGTCACGATCCCGCCAGTTTGGCGCATTTCGCCCGCGAGCGCAGATAAGAGAGAAGACTTCCCCGAACCCACAGTACCAATGACGGCAACGAGTTCATTGCGCCCGATGGACAGGCTGATGTCTTGGAGCGTGAACGGGGGCCCTTCCGCTATATCCGGGGACTTTGTGCCAGCCGCCCGGCTTGACTTCCCCATACCATTCTCAGTCGTTTGCGTGCAGGTCTGCTCCCAAGTGAAGGAAGCTTGTCGTGCCTCAATCGCCCATTCCGCGTTTGGGTCCCAAATAATATTTTCTTGATGCTCCTCGGCCAGCAGATAGCCTTCTACCCGGTGCAAAGATGCCCAGGCGTCTGTCAACTGGCCGATGACCACCGGGAGGAGATTGAACGGCACGCGCAGAGAATTGAAAATGGAGAGTGAGGAAAAAACCACCCAGGGAGTCAATTCATGTCCGGAGACAGAATAGACAATGAAGGAAAGCATGGAAGCGAAAATCGGCAAGGAGACCGAGATGGCATTCATAGCATTGCGCAGCGCCATCAATTTCTGAATCATCAAAACTTCTCGCTGTCGAAACGTCCGCAGAGCCTCGAGAAAGGCTCGCTCCCAGCCGTAGAATTTGACAAACCGGATGGAGCGCATGATCTCCTGGGTCAGCGAGAGGCGAGCATCCGTCGTCGTGTTGATTCTACGACGTCGGCGGATCAGCTTCTTCATTGTGATCGTGAGCAAGGGAATACCGCAAAAAAGCAATGCAAACCCTGCAAGAGCAGAGTGGGACATGTTGACGATCAGCAGAGCCAAGGCAAGAAAGATGGTCAACGGCGAGACCCAGAGGAGATGAAACATGCCACAGGCTGACTCGATACGAGACGTATCGGTTGACATCATGTTCATCACTCGCCCAGGGGGCCAACCAGTTTCACTAGAGCTATTCTGAGGGTCTCCTGCCGTTCCGGCGCGAGCTCGGTTGGACAATTTCAACGTCTTCTCGAAGATTGCGGTTATCATGACGCTCCGGGCCTGTGCACCGACCATAAAGCCACGATAGATAAATTGGTTCGTGCCAATGCTCTGGATCGCCTGCATAACCATGATGCCAAAGACCAGGCCGATCTGTTTTCCAAACCCTTTGCTGTCATCACCGGATGCTTTGTCGGTGTAGGCAGCGGTGACCCACTTGATGAGATATCGCAAGACGAATGGCGTCATGACCTGGCAGATAGAGGAGCAGAAGACAAAGAGCGCCCCAAACCAGAACTCGCGCCAGAAAGTGTCGTGCAGTGCGAACAGAAGGGGATGAGCCTCGTGGCGACGGATGCGCGCCTGGAAGGATGCCTCAAACCGATCGGACAGCCGAGTGATATAACGGTCAGGGTTGACCTCCCAGATATCATTCATCTCCAGAGGCCGGCGGTAGCCAATGCTCATAATTGGCGTCATCCATTGGAATGTCAATTGACTGAGCCAGTTGGCTCCGTGCTCGCCCGATACTGATCTATGGGTGGGAACAGGAGGAATAGGACCCCGTCGCAGCGGATTGAGCGAGCGATACCATGGGCGATGGGATGTCTTAGCAGCCTGGGCTGCACCCAAAGGGGCATCCTTACAAGAAGGTGAAGGTATAATTTCTGACTTGTCTTCATCGTGCACGGTTAGGCGTATGCCCGACGATTTGTCTGCAGAGAATTCAAGGCATCTGCTGGTCTCTTCATCCAAACATTGAGATGAGTGTGATGAACTCATACTTTCTTCTGGAAAAATCAAAGGCCATGCATGGAATAATGTCGGAAAGTAAAGAATATGTGATACAATGGCTTGGTTAGCCAGACTTAATCGCTGGGGCCATCCACGTGTGGGAAGAGGCTCGGGATCGGATATCGGAGCCCTTGTCCGTGTCCGCTCATTCACGCATGTAACGTAAGATCCTGGTATCTCGTCGTACATACTGGAGCCTGGAAGAAAGATACCATACAATTTGAGAACAGTGCCTCCCCTAGTGATATTGTGTATTGATTCTGAATTTCTGGTTGGTCCCAGAGGTAGTTGCGGGAGGTGAGCATCTGTTAGGAATAAAAGGATCGACATGATATCAAATCGTATGGAATACCCATAGAAACCCTGTATTCAAGCATCTTGCCTCCTAGGATCTATAACATCCGAGTAATGGCTCCACTCGTGGGTATTTCAACCCCCATGCATCCTCGCTTGTTCAAGAGGAGAGTTAGTTACCTCAGTCAATTCATTCATTCAGGTAGCTCAATACACTCATTCCTCTCATCTTTCCTCATTTTGATCCCTGGCCTCTGATTGGTCAGTAAATATCTTGTATTTCATTACTAAACAGCCAGGTTACTGGTAGCATCTGATGTCGGAACAATAAATGACTGTATAGACTAAGAATGTTGCCCATGGTGCATTTTTAATCTAGCGGTATTGTGCCCTATCTGTGTTCGACATGTCTGAGCAAGCTATGACAGTATGGGCTAGTAATCTTGGCGAACGAATGGGCAATGAAGAGAGATCAAGCGAAACCAAGTTGAGATGACTGAGTTGATTGATTGAAGAAAGAACGAATATCAGGGGCAGGTTGAAATACCCCATGGATGCCTAGGTACACAGTGTTACAACAGCCGTAATGCCCAGAATACCAAATTACTATACAAAACACAAAGGAAAGTGAGTCACTAAGTATAACCCATGTCTTAGCGGTAAGTTACCACTCCATGTCTTGACATCTGATTAGCCTTAGCACCAGTATTATCTTCCAGTAGTCAACCGCCACATAACCATTTGCTAGTTTAATCACTTTAAGCATGCATAAAATGTTTATAGTGTGGATGTAAGACCAGTAGTCCCATAAGCCAATAGCAAGCTGTTAACTACACACTGCTTCTTATTACCAACCACTCTACTTTGATCGCTTCAATCGCTCTGCTTTAGTCGCCTCCATTGCTAGCTTTAATTGCTTTATATTACGGATTAGATAGAGTCTCCTCCCTTTTATGTACAGCCTTAACTCAAGGTTCCAACCAGCCGAACCTTCCAGTTTAGTGGTTTAGCGGGTGATTCTTAAAAATCCAGAGTTACTTCCCTTACTATGCATATGTGGCGGAGTGGCCCGGATAGGCCGCCGTACAGGTGATCACTGACTGTATGGTAAATAGGACATGAAGGACAGGACTGCAGCCTGAGCACTACTAGCCACCGCCGTGGGCGTGGAGTGGGCCTATCTGAGGTCCCAAGCAGCCCTTCTCGCAGCAGACGAACCAGTGGCCAGCTCCAATGTGGTTATCGTCTTAACCTTTGCCATGGCCCATGCGCAGATGGTAAATAAGTACTACGCTTTAACGTCTTCCATGGCATCTTGGCAGGGGGGAAATTTAATAGTGCCAGGAATAGCATGCTCCTTGACTTGTAGAGGACATGGTTAATTTCTATAGTTGCAGCCGCATAGTCAAGTTATATTATTGTTGCATTCGCTTAGCGCATTACGAGGGCCAGATAGCAGACTATAGAGGGAGCTCACCCTCAAGAAATGCTAGCTCACTGCTAGCACTGTTCCCAGCGCTAATCCCTGGGAGTTGCATTTGCCACTAACCGATTTCTCCGTAGACAATCAACTTTCAAGAATTGGCAGTGGATAGAGAAGCTCCCTGTCTGAAGCCATCTGGGCTGATGTATGATGAGCTCTCCGAACGTAACAAATTAGGATGCTAAATCAGATGCCTGTAGATCAACGTTTGTAGATCATAGCTTATGAGGCGGGCGTGGGCATGGAACTAAGGGACCTGAAACCGCCGCGCAAGGACCAGGCCGTTCAGCATTGCACCAGTGACAACATCTGCAGTAGCCTCGCAGGCACTAGCGCGCACTGGTCCGAAGAAAGACAGTTTAGCACGTCCGGCTACTACGCGAAACGACTAATGCGCTTAGTCAGAAAAAAAAATGTGGAAATAGGAATCACAGATAGAGATTGGTTTTAATCCGTAGCGGCGGGCATGATACTGCCTCAGCCACCAACACGACAGTCCTATGTGGAGGCGGTATTAATGGGACCCCAGGCGAGACAACCACTGCTGAGCAAGGGGAACGGAATCACAGCCATCGTCGGATCCCATGTTCCCAAGCACATCCTGGCTGGTCTTAGCCCTCTGGGTCTTGGTATGTGCTTCTTCGGCCGTTGGCAATCAAAGCGTTTGTGCGGGGGGAGCGATTGGGCCAGAGACTCTGTCCAAAGTGTATAGTAACACCGGCGTAGATTGGGCGCAAGAAAATGTACTACGCTTGACCTCCATCAGGAAGTATGATGGGCCCGCCAGGGATAGTAATCAGTAATTCTTCGAATATTCCGCCTCAACAATCTATCAATTCAACATTTGGTATGGTCACCATCGGCTATACTGATTACCTGGTATCTTACCTGCGTGGATTGAACAAGACAACTAAAAAAGCCTCGTAAATAAATTCTTTTTGTAAAATATAATATGATTTTCAGTGGTTTTCAATCAATTATATGCGAGCTCAAACATTTGAGCTCAAATATTACCGGCATGCCCGAGTACAACATTCTGTATGAGTTGATTCGGAGGTGGTTCTGTGGAAAAGCGAGGCTTGAACAGCAATTGACCAGTGGCCGGCTCCGCTTGCGATGTCTTTCTGGGTTCACCGAGATTAACTCGTTTCTCAGGGCAGAAAGAGAGCCTTCTGCCTCGTACAAAAAGAGTCAAAAGACCCCAAAATCCATTCAAGTTTTTTGAGGAGAAGCTCTCTTCTTGCTCTTGTCCTGCGTTTCTAGCCACTAAGAATCTCGTACAATGACTAGTTTGGCCTGGTATCACTCTTATGAGCGTCACTAGACCTGCCAAGGATGAGAGTTCTCCAGGAGTATACCTTATTAGGAAAGAGCTGGTATTGGATGTTATACCGGTCTATCCCTGCAAAGCCTACTGAACTAGTAAAATAAATGCGGTCATTCCAGATACTGCTCCATGGACGTGGTGATCGTAAGCAGGAAATTCAAATCTAGACCCCATTTGTGCATGTTCGTTGTTGGGGGTTGCGTGGTACTGGATTCCAGCCGCCCAGTCCCTCAGGGAAGCCAGCATGCATTAAGTGATCAGATTACGAGGCTCCTATAAATTGATAAACTCTTCTTGAGTTGGTTGAGGATTAAAGAGAAGATTGCCATTGTTATTGCTGGGCTGTGCTATCTCAACCATGGCTGTGATTCTTGTTCATTTCATCCACGCGTGGAAGACGCTTCTCTACTCATACCTCGCTCTCGCTGTGACCTACTATCATAAAGCCCTGGGCCGGACGGCGGTTGGACCAGCTCATGGTTCTCTCACAGTCACGGACAACCGAACCAAGCGAACCTACCATCTTCCAATTGCCCATAATGCTGTTCGAGCTCTGGACTTCCGGCAGATCACGGCGGCTCAACCAGGGGCTGACTTTGTTGATTATGTGGACAGCGGGCTGCGGATTATCGACAAGGGGTACCTGAACACTGCATGCATGGAATCCTCCATCACCCTCATCGATGGCAAGCGAGGCTACATTCAGTACCGCAACCACTCCATTGAAGATCTCTTCGAACACAATGACTATGAAGAGGTCATTCATCTTCTTATCTGGGGAAAACTTCCCACTGCCACGCAGAAGCAGACATTGCGTCAGAAGTTAGCCATGGAAATGAAGCCCCATCAGTGTGTTATAGACGTGATTCAGGCATTTCCGTAAGTGAATACTCTCACATTCGCCAGGAGAAGATAGTCCAGGCGCGCTGACACACTTAGGCCCGACTCGCTGACCTTCCCCATGATTCTGGCCGCTCTCTCTGCCTACGCCTCGGTGGATGAAGGCACAAGAGCCACCCACTCCAAAGGCGAGCCACAATACCTGGGAAGACCGCAAGCAGTCGACAAGGCCGTGATTCGGACCCTCGCGATCTTCGCCACAACAGTGGCCTTGGTGTACTGCCACAAGCGTGGGCGAGCATTCCAGCCCCCACACCCGGAGGGATCGTTTATTGGCAATGTGCTGCTAATGATGGGGGTAGTTGAGCCGAATAGGCAAAAGCAGCCCCCAAAGCCCAACCGAAAGATCGAAGCGTGCTTCCAGCGGCTGTGGATCCTATACGCGGACCACGAAATGACCAATTCGACGGCGGCGTTCCTGCATGCAGCATCCACGTTAACAGACCCGCTGTCGTGCTGCGTGACAGGGATTGTTTCGGCGTACGGACCACTGCACGGCGGGGCCATCGACATTGCTTACCAAGAATTCGAGAAGGTGGGAATTCCGGCCAACGTGCCAACTCTGATTGCGGCCGTCAAGGCCAAGAAACAGCGGCTCTTCGGGTACGGACATCGAATTTACAAGGTGGTCGATCCACGCACCAAGTTCATCCGGCGACTGATGGACGAGCACAAAGACCAATTGCGGGCTAATCCCCTTCTTCAAGTGGCTTTGGAGATTGACCGAGTGGCGTCCGAAGATGCTTACTTCACCTCACGCAACTTGAAGGCGAATGCAGATTTGTACGGCTGCTTTCTGTATACTGCATTGTAAGTGGGCTATTGTCGTTGGGCTACTTTCTGATGATATGATGATCTAACTCGGACGACACACGTTGTAGGGGATTTGAGACGGATATTATCGTTGCTCTGGCGAGTCTTTCTCGCACTCCGGGGGTGTTGGCGCATTGGCGCGAGGCAATGGGTCAGACTCCGATGTTGTGGCGGCCGCAACAAATTTTCACTGGGACTGTCGAGCCAGCTGAATCAAAGTAGGAAACCTATACGAGAGCGAAGTTTATTTCAAGAGCTCGGAGTCTGAAAAAAGCCGGCGGGGCGAGGTTGGTGAAAGCCTTGTACATACTTGGTCTGGGGGAGTGTCAGTGGGAGTGTCAGGGGTGGGGAAGAGAGGTAACCCAGGGGCGGCTAAGCATTACATCTACTGTAAAGGAAATCCACCGCATTGACCATAGATCCTTTCCTTGGCACGGAAACACCCATCGAGCCGTACGCTAAGTTCTAACCAATTGCAGTAATCAGTATCCGTTACACGAGCAAGATTATTTATTATTCGCGAGCCTCGTAGTCGTTGTGATCTAGCAAACCTCTTGTCTTGGCGTTTCATGCAGACGGGCAGGGTTATTACATTAGACTAAGTCACTGATTAGTTGCGAATAATTGACTCAAGTACCCTGGTCTTCTGTGTGTCTCACACTTGGCTGACCGAATTCGAACACAATAATCTTCGTGTAGCTCAGCCTTATCCAAGTTTCATCTCTAGCGTTTGACTCCGATTAAAAACCCATTAAGTAGTCTACAGTACAACTACACCGTTACCAGCCACGCTATTCTACTACGAGTGGTATTCTGATAAATCAAACTCGTTTCCACTAATTCTTGGGGACCGGGGGCAGATATCAAAGTGGTATTCACTGACTTGAAATCAATACTAATTCCCGTTGATCTGGTAAGACATCTGACTAGCTAGGTGGCCCGAAAGGGGGGGAGGGTAATGCCCAAATACTCCATTTCTTCATTTGGCTACTCCTCTTCCTCGTGACCATCGTCAAAGAATGCAAACAGTCGCACTTCAATGGACCGACGTGCTGGAGCATCTTCGGGGGTCTGGTCGTCTTGAAAGCCTCCATGCGGAGTCCCGCGGACCTGATCCGTACGTGAGTCATAATCCCGGAACATGATGACCTCCTCGGGGCGTAGCTGGCTCACATAGCGAAACACATAGTCCGCATGGGGCTTGAGGAAATTGTCATGGGCCTTGTAATACTTGGGATCATTGTTGCGGTAGACACGGGCCACGTGGTCGGCGAAATTCCAGTCGGGGATGTGACTGTGATCGACGACCAACAGTGGCCAGCGCTGAACGGGCCTTCCCACCGGCCGCCAGACATTGATAATTGCCCAGCGCTTGTGTTTGAGGAGAAGACGCTGAGTCTCGGCCTCGCCAACCTCGCGCTGCAAGTGGCTCAGCGCCGTGGTGTGGTCGTTGTCGATGTGCAGGGTAGAGGCGGGCTGCGAGATGCCCGTCTTCATGAAGAAGATCTCATCCGGATGGTAGCCCAGGGTCTGATTGCGCAGACTAAAATGCCAAGGGATCACTCTCGCCGCCTTCGTCTTCTGCGCGATGAGCGCATGCAGTTCGGGCCAGTAGCGGTCCTTGATCATCTGCTTGCCCTCTGGGGTACGGTAGGTCATGAACTCCTCTTCGGTCAGAGACGTAGGGTAGATCTGTGTCTCGTAGCCATCGCGCAGAAGCTGAGGTGCCGGGACCTGGACCCGAATATCCTCAATCCTGATGTGGTGGATCTTTTTGGGCTTTAGGTTCGTCGCCCCGGTCGAGGTGTCAAGGTAGGCCTCTTTGCCGTCGGTTGTGCCGTCAAACATTTCCACCACGCCAGTGGTGAAGTGCTTGGGCACAGGTTCGACGACGATCATGGTGATACTTTGAAGGACAAAACAAATAGATAAGTAATTGGAGTATGATCTTGCGATTCGGGGATAGATGTGATGGGAGGATTGCCTCGCGAGATAATTCTTGTGGGTCCGTTTTTATACCTCCTCTATCCCATTTCCAATAAATGGCTTACTCCATCCAAAATTGGCTCCTATTGGCTGTTACTCAACCATCTCAGCTCTCATCCTAAAATCATATGATTCTTTTACTTTGAAAATCTTGCTGACACCAAAAAATAGGAAGAGAAGATATACTTGTGTATCCAGAACGGAAGTACCCATACCTTACCGTAATAATACGATCCGTATGACCCGTGTTCCAGTACGGTAAATACCACCATCGATGTACTGTAAATACCACCATCGATGTACTGTATCGCGCGAGGCCTCGCGCAGGAAGCGCACATGGCGATGAGCCAAAGTACGAGCCTCGTCGCATCAGCAACCTACCAATAGCGGAGATTAATTTTTTTTTTGTCCCTACATGCCGCGAAATCCCTCGGAGAAAATGATACAAATTGCGAAAATGGAAAGTCCATCATCGACTTCGCCACGCTCCGTATCTACGTTTACAAATATAAAAGACCCTAGAAAGTGTCTACTCCCCTGAAAGAAGGTCAACTTAGACCTACCATCACATCCATTGCACCCACAGAATGTCCCGTCTCATCGACAATGTTCCCGCACCCAAGAATCCTTTAAAAATGGAGATTCTCCTCCTCGGGATGCCTCGTACTGGAACCATATGTATGTGGGCTTCCCTATCCCCTTACCAAAGACTAACTCAACTACAGCGATTCGCATGGCATTTGAAATCCTCAAGTACCGGCCCTTCCACGGCCGCATGATGGATGAAATGCCACACTTGTATCCCTTGTGGACTGAAGCTCTGGAGGCGCGCTACCTGCACACAGGCAAGGACTATACGCGCGCCGACTATGACAAGCTCTTCGACGGATTCAATGTCTCGTGCAACATCCCCGGTACGCTGGTGGCCGCCGAACTGATCATGGCCTACCCAGAGGCCAAGGTGGTGGTAAGCACGCGAGACGTCGACCGATGGCAGCAGTCGATGCGACAGTCGGTGGACGCGGCAGTTTCGTGGAAGTCGTTCGATTGGTTGGCACCTTGGGATCCGGTATGTTTTTTGTTCCTTTGTTCGTTTCTTTTGTGGCCGCTCTTGTTCCTTGTCTCTAGTGGTGTTGCTGCTGTTGCTATTGTCGTATACGTACTTCAACCCTAATAACCCCCGGTTGATTGTCCAGAACATAACTGATCATCCACGGAACAGCACGTCATCGGTCCTTGGTGGGAATACCACAAATTCCAACACAGGTTACGACCGCTGATTGCCCCTCAAGGCGAACGTCAGGCGTACCTGGACTACTATGCTTGGATTCAAAAGGCGGTGCCAGCGGATAACTTGTTGGTGTTCAACCCGCGCGACGGGTGGGAGCCATTGTGCCAGTTTCTGGGGGTTCCCATACCAGACGAGCCCTTCCCTCACGTCAATAACACCGAGCAGTTCCTGAACGGCCGGCGGCGGCGCTGGTGGCGCACCGTCGGACTTTTAGTCGCCAAGGTGTCGGCGCCGGTGCTGGCCGTCGTGGCGGCCGCTTGGTGGAGTTGGGGGCGGAAATCAACTTTCTTGGTCAGGGGGTAATAGTTCATGCGGTGGCTAGAGAGGTGTTGTAACAAATTAGAAATGTGTTTTTTGGTATCGTCTCATGTGGAAACTCGAATTAAGAATTGATTTGTCGCCAGCCTCTGGAGGCGAATGGCTAGTCGAAATTATGATCTGTGATAGGCATGGTGCTGCAGCACAGTAGATTGGTACTTATGTTGACAATGGACAGCAGATGCATAGCGCCATGTCAATATGACGCGAACAGTAGTGAGATCAATGTCAGCAGAACTCCACTCTTCCCTTGAAAACGCCTAAATGTGGCCATCCAAGCGGCTTCTCATGGCCCAACGAGAAAGCGTCAAGACCTAATGGACAGGATGGATGTTACAGCAAGGTTGCTATTTGCTGCCAATTCGAAAAAAATATTAGTATAGCGCAAAAATCCCTTCCTCGCGATTGAAGTAATCTGACGACGCTGCAATATCGAAAATATATATACATATACAGAAGAGGCATCTGATTCAGCTGCAGAGATTTTCCCATGCACGACAAAAAGAAATTGAGTCTTCAGAGGATAAACAGTCCAACATCAACTCATATCCATCTGGACTACCTAAGCCTTGGCTTCGTGTTCGGCGCTCACCTCAATCAACTGCACTTCGCAGTCGCGCGACCGACGAAATGACCATTTCGTCTGATTCCAAAGGCCGTCAAAGCAAAAGCCAGGATGGAGAATGGTCATGCAGATAACAGCAATGGCAATCATTGCTCCCTCCAGAATCATAAAGAGCACCTGGTTGTTGGCTAGCGAACTGTGGAATCCCTCATTAAGCTCCGCCACTCGGAAGACAGATCGCACAAAGATGGTCAAAGTAGCAAGAGCCAGACCTAAAAGAACATAGTCAATTCTCCGAGCAATTAATCCAGTGGACTGAGAATGGTAGTCTTTACCTGCCAGGAAGGCCTTCCAGCGGAGGCTCTGTCGGAGCTCCCGCATGCGGGTGTCGGGGTTGAGGTCCTGCGGGTTCTTGATCACTTTCCAGGCGAAGTCGAGGCAGAGGACCATAAAGAGAGCCAGAGACGCGACCTGGCTAGCGAGTCCGGCAATCATGATGTTGATACCATCCTGAGCGAGATCGTACTGGTCGGCATCTGCGATGGAGGTGATGGCACCGCCCGCCGCTTGTAAGATGAGAGAGACCAAGTCACACCCAACGAAGACAATCGTGTATATTTTCGGACGGAGGCGAGAGATACTCTCGCCGTAGATAGTCACGATGCGTCCCAAGCAGATGTAGATGGAGGCGCTGAGGAAGGCTGGCCCAATGGTCAGGCAGATGAGGTACCTGTTGTAGGGATCAGTATTAGATCAAAATTGGCTGTGAACGGCGTGGTGACATACTCCAGATACGGATTGAAGCGGAAAGGATTGTTATGCAATTGAATCCGTCCGAGATACCCGATGATTTCCAAGACGAGGCCCCCAAAGAGACCTGCAAAGTAGCCCCAGGTTCGATAGCGGACCACGAGCACCGCTTGAGCGGCTAGTAGCACGACAAACAAGGCCAGATAGAAAGCATTGCCAGCCAACGATGGGACATAGTAGATATACGCCTCTGTAATCGGGCAAATGTCCAAAGTGCAATAGTCTGAGGGATCCGTGGAGTTACTCATGATCGCGAAGATGGAATGGTAATTGAGCTTGTTTCCTTTTTCAGTCTTCCTACCTGGATTGGTGACCGACGATACTTAACTTAACGACGTTTTTCGTTGCCTGGAGGCTAGATAAAGAGGTCACAAACTTAGAAAAGCCATGTCCATGTTTGGGGTCTCATTGCAAAACGAACTGTAGGCCGGGAGTCCTTGTCCGTGTTGGCATGCCCGTCTGTACCTGCTGCGTCCAGGGTCACCCTGGCGTATTCGGTGCTAAGTATGAGACAATACCGATACGCACACATGCACTTGGATGTAACTTAAAACATGAGTGGCATCAATGCTTGACTGAGTGGATCTGTTTAGTGCGATTGCCAAGAGATATCGCCGCGCGGATGGCTGGGTTGATCCGGACACGGACACGGACATGGACACGGACATGGACATGGACACGGACACGGACAAGGACAAGGACATAGGACTGGGCTACAGACACAGACATGGTGATATTATGGTTGTTGATTTGTTGCCAACTCGTTCCCATAGACACGCTCGGACACGGACACGGAATGGAATCATCTAATTGCCCCACAGGCACAATGCAGGCCTAAACCGTCTAGAGTGCTGCTATGAGCTGTGCTGCTAACCAGATTTCATCTTCATCTTACCTGTCGGAAATTGCTTCACACACACACTAAGCAACGTCCGTGTCTTGGCGAAGATGGCTTTGTCGTGGGGGCAGAAATGCAAAGGGCCCAGCTAATTATTGCTGATGGTTGATATTTTTTCCCTTTCCGTTTCCTCTGACCATGCTCTGGGCTGAGAACGTCTTCTCTTTCTTCTAATTTCCGGCTGTCTGAGTCTACCAGCACGATGCTCTCAAGCGGGAGACTAAAGCAAGTTCACCGACGCACTCTGGATCAAGTCTTGAAGTGCCAGTCTTGGCTTCCAGCTCTATCATTGTCACCCAAACTGGAGGTCATCTTGACTCGAGCCCGTCAAGGGCCCCTGATCTCGTGTCTATCGGTCTATCTGCTCGTCGTATGCCTATCATGGCTCGTCTCTTTCCTACAATTTCGAATGATGTTACATGCCAACCTCGTCGCGACTGAGGACCTGCTCCCTAACGCAAGCTGGGCAGCTGGGCTCCAAACAGCACACATCGAGCCCGTCCAATGGGCCCCACCATCCACCACTGATGAGACGGCGATGTTGAATAGCTCTGTCGCCGGCATCCCCCGGGTCATTCATCGGATGTGGCAACACCGCACGTCGGAGACGCCAGAGGATTGGACTAACGCGACTGCCTCCTGCCGCGACCAGAACCCCGTTTACCGGCAGTACCTGTGGACATTTGACACAGCGCATCAATTCATACGCACCCATTTTCCCTGGTATCTTCCAACATATACGAACCACCTTCTGCCGGTGCAGCGGGTCGACGCGCTTCGCTACTTTCTTCTCTGGCACTACGGTGGCGTGTTTCTCGACCCGCAGATAGGATGCCGCCAGTCTCTGGAGCCGCTGCTGCTGCTAGGGACAGACAAGGGCCAGGCCCAGGCTCAGGCTCTGTTGCCCCAGAGCTGGCCGTATGGCGTCACCAATGAGTTGATGGCGAGTACGCCGAGGCATCCGTTTATGATCAAACTGGCCTTGACATCCCACGAACATCACTGGTCGGCCATTCCGGCCTATTTCATGGCCTTGGTCAGTTTGGGACCTGTCCTCGTCAGCCGCGTTCTGGCCGCGTGGCTCCGGTCTGTTGGCGGTGCGCCGGCCGCGCTCGCCATCTTGCCATCGGCGCTCTATGATGATAAAGCAGAGCAAGCATTTTTCTTACGGTTCGAAGGCCAGATGCCGCACGGAGATGAGGTTGCAGTTTCATTGCATATATTCGGCAATTGGCTCGGGTGGTGTGGAGCGGCTGTGTCGTTGATTGTCATGGCTTTTGTCATCTTTGGCGTTCGGTCCGGACCCAAAATGCGACGAAGACAGGATGTCTCTGATACACCGGAACCATTTGTATAGATCACCGAGACCTATCAGGTTGTGTTATCTAGTTTAGGTACACCATAGTATAGTACTGTGAATGAGCTTTCATCCCTGTGCAAAGACGTCTACTCAAATGCTGCGGGTCCTTGCGTCATCCAGCCTGCAAAAAGGTCATCAAAAGCGGGACTGGGAAACAACCCTGGCCATTGAAAATCAAATTCATCGCGTGGGATGGTAGGATAACCTTCTAGCCCTTCCTCCGATGGCATTTGAGCGATACTTGGATCAGACGAGCCATCCATGGCGACCGTGAATGACTCATTCTGCTGCGATCGCGACAGTGTCCGATTTTCAAACCACCATTGCGCCCGAATTAGCCGTTTCTCATAGTGGTAGAACACATCACGGTCACCTCGTGCATCCATATGGGATGTGACAAGCGCTTGGATGCGCAGGACGCACCGGCTCAACATGTTTGAGAGGTTCAACGAGCGGGTCAAATCGGCCGTGTGAGGGTGGATGGAGGGCTCCGATGCGGCGACCACGAGCTTGCAGGCCAGTGTCACGGCAAAGCCGAGCTGGATCCAGCCTGCATTGTTGAAGGCAACTTCGCGACGGAGGGGAAGGGAGATATAGAATTCCAGCAGCGTGCGCGCTGCGGTGAGACCCATACGTAGAGATTCGACCTGGAAGGGCGAATCATGTCGTGGATGCTGGGCGCTGGGCTTGTAGTCGAACAGGATGACTTGGCATAGATAGAGTTCCACCGTATGAAATTGCATGAAGAGGAGATCTAGAGTCCGATTTTAGTGACATGTCGAGGAACCAAGTCCTGTCTATGGCCGGGTGGTCACCTACGGTTTTCGGTGAGCATAAATGGAAGCTGAGCTCGATACAGATCCAGTTCCGATCGAAGCTCGCGATAATAGTATTCAAGTGTATCTGCGTGATGGTTCTCGGAGGCATGCTGGGAGGATATCAGAAGGATCTTTTCGGACAGGCGTTGAAGTTGGACGATGTGCAGTAAGTGGCAGTCCGAGTTATATTCGGCGTCCGATGCCAGGAGTTCACACGAGGCTTCTAAATACGGAATATATGAGAAAGAAGAGCGCTTTTGCAAGATCTGCGAGATGCTGGAAAAAATCTTAGCTTGACCTGGCGGACCATTCAGTCGTTACTCTGCCTTACCCAGACGAAAACCAGAAAAATCCAATAACAGCTCTTCTCTCTTCTCTGCCCCATGAGATGGCGTTCTGGTCGGCTTCGCCATCAAAGTTCACTCTTGTTCGCCAGAATCGATCTTCTGGGGCACGGTCGAGCTGTAGATCGGTGATGATGCTGATTCCGAGATGCAAATACTGGGAAAATCGGCGTGGCCTTGAGTGGTACTGGCACCTACGTCGAGTTGAGTCACCATGACCGGGGAGAGTAACAAGATACAAACAGCGGGTCTCACCACGCCAGATGGACCAAAATACCCTGGAGCATCTCAAATGTAGCAGGTCCGTCAAAGATCATAGAGTGACTGATCGCCCGCTTGACCTCAAGCTCAAGTGTTCGTTGGAGGGGCATGTTGTCATACAACGCCGCTGTAAGAATAGTGAGAAACAGAAAGGGCTTCTCCTTGCGCAGGGCTGTTGCGGTCGCTTGCGGTGGGATTATCACGAACGGGCAGTACGGCATGAGGGTGGTTCGATACTCGTGCAGCAGCCGGTTCGCCGCGTCGATGGTCAAGTGTCCCTTACCGATCACATCTTCGGGTTGTGTTGGCGCACTGGCAGTGCTTTTTTCATCGATACTCCCTTCTGACGCAGTTGCACTGCGTGACTGTGCGAGGAGTCGGTCCAACTTGGCTTCCCGCAAATCGATCCTTCGATTCTTGCTATCGCTTGGACTGGCAACCCCGGTCGTTCTTCGCCCTTGCTGAAAATGGCAGACCTTCCCCAAGCGATCGCAGCTAATCATCATTAGTCTTTTTTTTGAATCGAATTAGTGAGTTACATGGCGCAGACCGGTCGCAGCTCCCTGTGGTGGTGGAGCGAATGCATCGGATTTTGCCTCGTGCACAGTTTTGACAGGTCCGCGCGGAGCCATTGGAGTAGCGGCTCGCCCTGGTGTGGTCACTCATCTCCCGACATTACGAGGCTGTTACGCCAGTTGCAGTGGTGATGAAAATGAAACGATGTGCTCGGCGGGGAAGAATCAGTGCTTTGGTGCGGTGCAGGCGGTCGACTCCGGGCTAATAAAGAACCCAGCCGTAAGCGCAAGGTGGCAGGACCAAAAGAAGGCTACTAGCTTGATAATGTCATAGGTCAGGCAAGCCAAAACAATGAAACTAGTCCGCTCTTGTACACAACACACACTGAGTGGAGAGATTACTATTACTAAGGGGGATTGACATATGAGTTCCGCGGCAAGGGGAATGATTGGATTGATCGAAGAAGAACAAGCTGCTGCTCAATGAGCGATTTTGCCACCCCTAACCGAGTAATGCTCAGGGCGAATCCATCCGAAGCATATCATTAGCATTTCAGAGTTATTGTAGATGTTAAGTTATGTAACTACAGTATGGCCTTGTACGCATTTGATGGGTCCTGAGAAGCAAGGGGAACCAATCTGAATTGAGATAATAGAGATGATTTAAGAAGAGACCAAAACATCGAGGACTTGTTGAAGTGTCCTTGTTTATATATCTGTATATAAAGGGTTGAGCCTTCGGAACTTTCCGGGTGTCGCAAATCCTTTGATAAGAGGAAGAAATCACCACTAACGCTAAGTCAAACTTGCTCTAGTGAGCTATAGGTGTAACAGGAGATTAACTAATTCTGATACTAGTAGTGAAGGAGTAAGGGCTTCTAACGTGGAGATACTGGTTAAAGGACGCAGAAATACATAAGGACGCAATGAAGCTTGCATTAACTACCCATCAGCTGGTACTAGCAATGGCGACACTGGCGTGTCATACATGCATTAGCTCAACATAAAGCTTCTAAGAAAAAGTTGTCACTGGCAAACACTACCCCACCACCTGTGAAATGATGACCAAAGCTGACACCGACCCCTCCAGCTCTCCATAACCATGGACAGTGAGGATCAGTTGCAACCGCTCCTTCAGGCGGAGACTAGTGGGTTCGATTGCCTGGTCTCCCGTTAGTTTTTTGTAAACTCATCCAGAAAAGCATAGTGGGATATACAAGGACTTACCGGATAGGCCAATTGCTTCAGCGAGTAAGTGCTGCGCGTAATGAGAATGGCGCCCTTCCGCATGCGACTGACCACACCTAGAAGGAGGCTCTCTTTCTCCTCACACATGGATCCAACCAATGCAGCAAAGTATACCGCATCATACTCACTCAGACCAAATTAGTCTGCGGCGTCGGTGATTCAGTGAGTGGTCCACCCCGCCAGACCCAGTTTCTCCAAAACTTGCTCCGATTGACGTACTCACGAGGCATAGCGCTCTACAAGGTGGAAAGACACTGCCTGGCCGTCCTGCTGCGCGAGTTCCCGGATTCAGATGGCCGTCAGAGGCAGAGGGCCTGAGCCCAATATTGCCATCTTCTGGGGACACTGCCGGAGCACAGTACGCACCGCGTTCCATTCCATGGCGATAAGGAAGTCATAAAGGTACAGAAGCGGGAGGGAATGTAGAGCGCGATTTCCTGTAGCAATATGAATACTCTTCCGATTTTGGCAAGGTGATGGGCTCGATGTTATACCTTCATCTACGCTGGTCGCTGCAATCACCTTGGCGGCCCATACTTCCTCAAACACGCATTCGCAATCGGAGAAAATGCGCCGAAGATGTGGAGTGATTTTCCTTATGCATGCGTCGTTCAGAATCTATGACTCATCAGCGCCAGAGTTGATGATTGTTCCGACAAAAGGGGTCTATATACCAACTGCTCCATCTTAGGGTCAACTGTGGTGTGTGCAATGACCCCATACAGCTTTCAAAATACCAGCATGACCTCTTTCTCTATCTTTTCATCTCCTTCTAGAGGATAGATATTCATGATCCCATGGTAGCAGTCCAGGATGGTGTGCACATACGCTTCAGCGCTTTGGAAGTCGGGCGCGTCTTCCGCACCTGTCTTGGAATATAGAATGCCCATTGTAGAATTGGAAAGAACTCAAACGCTGCTACCAAAATACAACTTCCTTGGTTAAAGAGGTTGCGAATTCACAATGGAGGACATCTGATTTATCTTGTCATCTATATACACATCGACGAGGCTCTATCTTACTGTCTTACACCCTAAGCAATGCATGTCTGACACCCCTCCTCGTCAGTCCGGCTCGGCTACCTAGGTACCCTTGTACTAATGCCGCTGGGGCAGGGGAGCCATGCCCGTGAATTCTCGGTTAGACATACGGCCAGGCTAACACTTCGTCCTGCCCACTGTACCAGGCATACGATAGCGGGACGGTGCATTTTCGCGATGTACAATGCTCTTATACTTGCGTGTCAAGTCTTCTCCTATCAGCAGGATGTCCTCCCACCAAGACACAAACAACAGGAATGTAGCCAGCCACCACCAAGTCGACGCTTCATTCCCGTAGGATTGTCCACTGCTCAACACAGCAATGCTCTGGACAACGCTTTGCGTAAGGCTAGGGTGAGTTTGTTGGAGTTCACCCATGGGATCCATCGTGCCTGCAGGCAACCGTCTAGTGATTGTGACTGGGTCGATCTCAGGATGAATCTGCTTGATGAGGCTGAGGTCCACCACTACAAAGGTATTCATGACCATGGCAGCCCCGTGGGCACCACCGATAAAGCCCTGAGACAGCATTCCTACTCGCTGCCAGTCCTCCACCGCGCACAGAATCTGAAGCGCCCAGTAGTCCTCCCCATACGTGACCAGACTGGATGTACAACTGTTATAGCCCGGGGGGCGTGCATTGACTTCATGTAAGTAGACCGAGGGTTCTGATGTTTCTGAGTCGGGTTTGACTTTAGCGGGACGTAGATCGAGGGAGCCAAGGTCATCATCCAGTTGCTGGAAACGCACACAGGACTGGCGGACTCGACCCTCAACATGAAATACCCCGTGCCGGAAGCCTTGGCGGCGAACGCTAGCCCCCATACTCTGCTCAATCAATGTCTGCTCACAGGCCGGAAGCACGGATGGCATAACCACGCGTGTCTCTCCAAAGTGCGGCGCATCGAACCCAAGACCGCTCTGGTGGTCCGCGGCCGAAGGGAAATCGTCCGAGACTTCGCAGGAGACCACCTCGCCGTCACAGAGGACCAAATTGACATCAAACCCTGGTCCATCAATATAAGGTTCTATCAGCACCCGTCCTGAGTTTCTATGCCCAGCAGCTCTGACAACTGCTGCTTCGAGCTCCGTAACATCCGTGACTTTGAAGACACATTCGCTCCCGTCGCTGTTCACGGGCTTCACCACTACAGGATAGCGAAGGCTCTCTCGCAGCTCGGCCCGCGAATTGAGGTCCTCCACGCCGGAGACCAGAATGCTGGCGTCGCCCGGCTCGAGTGCTCGAGTCTCAGATTTGTCGCATGCGATGCGATACGCCGTCGCTGGGGCAGTAGGTAGTCCTAATATCTCGGCCGCGTCTGCAACAGCGATCAGCCAGTGATGGCCGGTGGTGTAGATACCGTCGATCAGTGACGGGTAAGAACGCACCGCGTCCACAATACGCGTCGCCAGGCCAGCATTGGGCGTGATGTCCGTCACAATGAATCCCTCGCGGAGGTAGCGTAGTTCATGACTGTCGGGGAACCAATCGCCCGTACTGATCACCACCAGGTCCACTCCCAATGCGGCGGCACATTCCCACCGTCGTCGCGTCTGGAGGACATTGAGTGGCTCCACCACTACCGCAATGCGCTTGCGTGTGATTGGGATTGATGATAGCCAGGGGAGCGAGATTCTACATACGAGATCGGATTCAAGACGGTCCAAAACGATGACATCCTGTCCAGCAAGGTTGATCATGGCCACAGCGGATGACATGCCGTCCATGAGCCCCTCACTGCTTGTCCTGTTCCATATTGGCGGAGATACATGCTGCAAAGGCTGCAGAAAGCTCCTGACCTTACTCACATAGCTTCCAACACACTCCAGCCGCTGTGTCAGAAGGTCGGATTTGACCACATATCCCGGAACGCATGGGAGAATGAGTTTCAGGAGAGTCGACTCTAGCGGGCGTCTGGCCAATAACAATTGCTCTTGAACATATTGTAGGACCGGTAGAGGTTGGTCCAGGGTCACCGTGTCTACAATCCCAACACAAGACTCCCGACTCTGTTCACTATCGACCTCCCAAGCAAGAACTAGGTCCAAAGAAGCTCGCGGAAAGCCATCAATCGATTGGTAATATCGCCACTGGCATTGGTATCGGCCTGCTCCAATTAGTTTCTGGTGATACTGTGACTCCAAGAGCGAACCGCCGCTCACCAAGACTGGTCACTAGAGAGCATCGATTCCAATGCGCCATAGCTGTAACACTGTATACGTCGCAGCTTACCGCATGGAGTATCCGGCTACAGCGAGTATCAGCCGTGCCCTTTTTATGGGAGATTGACTCTGTTCTACTGCAAGTTTCTGACCACCTGCTGACGATCAGCGGCTTCCGCACGCCAATCAGCCCAAGGGTATGCGACTGGCAATTGCGCCATTGCATGGTGCAAGGGTTGTGAATGCAACATCATGACCGGCTATATTGAGGCCTGGCCCGCGGTGGGGAGTCATTGGCGGGATAAAGCCTAGCGGTGACAGGGATATACTGGCTGTTTCTTTTGTCTCACCCGGCCCCCCACTCCTATCGCGCATGGACATGTTCCGAGCGAAATTGTTACTGCACTCTGCTACAATTGCATGTTCCATCATTTCCCTCCAGGGCCTTGTAAGATCGCTTTCTCATCTCTGAACTGTGGCAGCTAGTCCCTGAGAAGCACTGCGCGCTAGGCCTCTCAACATGGCGGAACCTTCTAGCAAGGACGAAAAAATCAATGCACAACAACAGTGTATCCAGCAGTCCCAGAAGTGGTCCTGGGGCCGCTGGCGATGGGGCAAGGTCCAGCCTATCCCCAGCGAGCGTGAGGTATCGAAGGAGTACGGCGCTGGGTTCTGGAGCAAATTAACATTCTCCTGGATGAATGAGCACATGAGTGTATGTCCTTGGAAGCTTTGTATAGCCAAGCACTAATCTATTTTCCCATACTGGATATCATAGACCGTTGGAGTATGAGGATATCTGGCTGGTGAACCCAGACCGTGCTATCGTGCCACTCTCGAGCAAGCTGCGAGAAAGCTTTCAACTGCGTGTCGCCCAGAAGAAAAAGCATCCACTGCTTGAAGCCATACACGATACATTTCGGCGCGAGATCTGGCTGGATGGGATTTGCCGTCTGTTATCGGACGTCCTCTTGATCTTTGCTCCCTTTACTCTCCGTTACCTGATTGCGTTTATGCAGGATGCGTGGAACGCTCATCATTACGGGGAACCCATCCCTAAGATTGGAAGGGGAGTAGGCCTCATGCTAGGCATCCTGGGGATGCAGATTGTCCAGAGTCCCGGCGACACACACTTTCTCTACCGGTCTATGGTCGTGGGGGGCCAGACGTGTAGTGTGTTGATATCCGCCATCTTCGAGAAATCCCTACGACTGTCTATGAGAGAAAAGGTTGGGGCGACAGGCAAGAGCAAGTCAGAGTCAAAGTCTGAGGGTTGGACGAATGGCCGTATCATGAATCTGATGTCTCACGACACGCAGCGGATCTTCCAGGCGTCCAATGTGGTTCACCTCGTCTGGACCAGTCCCCTCGCTATCCTACTTGCTGTCATTCTGGTTATTATCAACTTAACCTACAGTGCCCTACCGGGGGTTGGATTCCTGGTCATTGGCCTGTTCAGCCTGTCACAAGTGGTAAAGTTTCTAGCAAGTCGGAGGGATATTATCTATGCTGTTGCAGACCGCCGGGTGAGCTTGACCCAAGAGATACTCCAGGGGGTTCGCTTTGTCAAATGTTTTGCTTGGGAAAGAGCCTTCCAAGATCGTCTGAGCGAGATACGAGCACAGGCGATTAGGTCAGTTCAGGTTTTGCTGACCATGCGGAGTGCCATTGGAGCAGTATCGATGGCCCTTCCTATCTTCGCCACACTGTTTGCATTCATTACCTTTGCACTTTCGAACCATGCACTGGATGCGGCGACTATATTCTCATCGCTTGCGCTCTTCAACTCCCTGCGCACTCCGCTGAACTGGCTCCCCGTGGCCATTGGACAAGTGGCCGATGCGTTAGCCTCCGTCCGACGTATAGAGGAGTTTCTACAGGCAGAGGAACATGAAGAACAGGCTGTCTGGGAATTAAATATGGCCGCGGCGGTGGAACTTCGCAACGCGAGCTTTACCTGGGAGCGAGGCATGGGTACTGACCAGTCTCTGGCGCCTGAATCCGCCTCAGCACCGCAGCCAGTCTTCGAGCTTCATGACCTGGATCTAACAGTCCCACGGAACGAGCTACTGGCCGTTGTGGGCACCGTAGGCGCTGGCAAGACATCATTGCTCACTGCGTTGGCCGGGGAGATGCGCCGCACAGGGGGCACTATGGTTCTTGGAGCCTCTAGAGCCTTTTGTCCCCAATATGCCTGGATCCAGAACGCTACGGTTCGTGATAACATTGTATTTGGGCAGCCGTTCGATTCGGACTGGTACTATAAGGTGGTCGATGCGTGCGCTCTTCGAGCGGACTTTCGCAGCCTGTCTGCAGGCGACATGACGGAGATCAGAGAGAGAGGAATCAATCTTTCTGGGGGTCAGAAACAGCGAGTGAACCTGGCGAGGGCCGTCTACTCGCACACAGACATCATGCTTATGGACGATCCATTGTCCGCGGTAGACGCACACGTTGGTGAGCATATCTTCAAGCACGCCATTTGTGGCCTGTTAAAAGACAAGTGTCGGATTCTCACTACCCATCAACTGCATGTTCTCGACCGTTATGATCGCGTGGCACTGTTGCATGAAGGAAGGATCCGAGCTATTGAAACTTATACTGATCTCCGCCAGCACTCCGCGGACTTCAATCGCTTGGTACTTTGAGCGTCCAGCGCGAGGAAGGTGATGAAAAGGCAAAGCCCAAAGATGAAGGGAAGTGTGAAGATCGTATCGAGCATGTCGACTCCACCGTCTCGCTTCATGATGATGGGGCACTCATGACTGCAGAGGGCAAAGCGGTAAAGAGTGTTCCATGGAGCGTCTACTTGGCGTACATCCGCGCATCAGGAAGCATCCTAAACGCCGTCTGGATCTTCCTGTTGCTTGTCGGCTTCCGTGGGGCTAATATCATGACGGGCCTCTGGCTGAGTTACTGGTCGGCCCAATCTTTTGATCTAAGTCGGAGTCAATGGGTAAGATGCTTCTCATTCTACTGGGGGTTGGTGCTAATGGTATAGATTGGCATATACGCTGGACTGGCATGTCTCCAGGGAGTTTTGCTGTTTGCCTTCTCCTTGTGTACAAGTGTGGTTGGTACGAATGCAAGCCGCAAAATGCTCAATCAGGCTACCTGGCACGTCTTACGATCCCCTATGTCATTCTTCGACACAACGCCTCTGGGTCGCATTACCCATCGATTTACCAAAGATATTGATGTGATGGATATGAGCCTCACAGATTCCTTGCGGATGTATCTTGTGGTGCTCAGTATGATCATTGGTGTCTTTATACTTACCATTGCGTACTTCTACTATGTAGGAGAGCTGGCCAGCCTTAATATATGAAGAGCACCACCACTAACGGAACTTAGTTTGCCGCCGCTATTGCGCCCCTGACCGTTCTTCTTGTGATATGGACAGCGTATTACCGGTCCAGCGCACGTGAATTGAAACGGTTCGAAGCTGTGCTGGATTCAAGCGTGTATGCCCGGTTCAGTGAGGCGTTATCAGGGACGTCTAGCATTCGATCGTATGGGCGACAACAGCAATTTACTTCACGCGTCCAGTCGGCCATCGATGACATGAACAGCGCTCACTTTCTAACATTTGGCAACCAGCGGTGGCTTTCGCTGCGTCTGGACAGCATTGGCAACGCGCTCGTCTTCACCAGCCGCATCCTAGCTGTGGCCGAACGATATAACATCTCCCCCAGTATTTCTGGTCTAGTACTGAGCTACAGTCTGAGCGTTGTACAGCTCATTCAATTCACTGTGCGACAGCTAGCAGAGTTAGAGAGTGCGATGAATGGAACTGAACGCATCCATGAATATACAGGCCTAGAGCCAGAGGGTCCGTTGGACTTGGGGATGGTGCGTCCGACCTGGCCTGAACAGGGACAAATCACCTTTGAGAACGTCACAATGCGGTATTGCCCTGGGCTCCCGCTGGTCCTTAACAGACTAAACCTCGCCATCACGGGAGGCGAGCGGATCGGAATCATCGGTCGGACTGGAGCGGGGAAGAGCTCGATCGTTTCAGCACTGTTCCGACTGGTCAAGCTCGCGGAGGGCTCTATCACCATTGATGGGGTGGATATCTCTCAGATCGGCCTGCATGAACTGCGTGCACGGGTTTCCATAATTCCCCAGGACCCGACGTTCGTCCGGGGTACAGTGCGGTCCAATCTCGATCCCTTCAATGAACACACCGACGCCGAGCTCTGGAACGCCCTGCTACAGAGTCATCTCGTGGATGCGAACAATGCGACCAATAATAAATCACACGAGTCGGAGAAGGATGGGTCCAGCATGTCAAAGATAACCCTGGATGGCCCTGTGGACGAAGAGGGATCGAACTACTCACTCGGCCAGCGACAGCTTCTAGCCTTCGCCAGGGCCAAGGTACGGGACAGTCGGATTGTTGTGATTGACGAAGGAACCAGTTCGATTGATACCGAGACCGACATGAAAATCCAGGAGACCATTGTCAGTAACTTTCGCGGAAAGACCCTTCTGAGCATTGCTCATCGTTTACGAACGATCATTGGATACAACCGTATCTGTGTCATGGACAAGGGCGAGATAGCAGAGTTAGGTCCGCCGCTGGAGCTGTGGAAGAGGATGGGCATCTTCCGCAGTATGTGTGACCGAAGTGGGATCCGGAGGGAGGATATTGAGGCTGCGAGATAGCCTTGACGGTGTGTTTAGGTGCACCTCACTCCTTGTGAACTAAATCCATTGTTAATCTGCTTATGAGATGGAATGCCGTGTACCACCTGTGCACTCTGTTAGGCAATACAATTTGCTGGAAACGACAGCCCCATGCGCTAGGGCAAATAGTGGCACTGGCGGCGCTATTCATGGTTCCTCCAGGATTCGTAATGGGCAGCACTAAGGTAGTATTCGTGGGCGAGTCAACGTTACAGCGCCACCGGCCACCAATTATTGCCCTCTGTAGCGCCATAGAAAATGATATTGCCCGCTTTATTGACCGTCCACGCGCCGCCGCCACATTCATGTACTGCACTGCCAACATTATATGGAGGGCGCAGGATGTTTCGGACATCGCGACTGGACTCATCAATCTGTAGGATACCCCTGCGCCCATCTGGCTGGACTTCATCGACAAAAAGAGGCTGCTGGGCTCTTGGCTAGGGTCAGAGACTCCTCCAATTTGTAAAGCGGGATAATGGCTCACATGGACTCGCGTACTTCCAATCGAATTTGTTGTGGCCAGGACATCTGCCTTAAGGGGGCTGTCCCAATGTCCGTACTCCCTCTTCGTAGCTAATCAAGCGCGTATCCGGGATCTGATCTACCATTTAGACCTATTCAAAATCTTCTCCTACTTGAGTTTCTTTTTTTAATCCCGTGGGGCGCTAGCTGACAGCCTCAGACTTTTTCTTCCTGCACAGTCACCGGCGGTCGAGATTAGCCCTGATGACCGTGCTTTAGTTTGCTGCATTGTCAGACAGTTGCGTCATCGGTATTTGGTCTTGCTGCTGCGCCATCTCTCCTCGTGTATTCATTACTCTCCGTTTAGTGACTGTTCGTAGCTTCTGATTATAGTTAGCTCTCCTTTCTTTCATTCTACGTTTGAATAACTCAGTTCGCATAAATGCACCTTATCGCTCGCTCTATGCTTGGGAAGCATCGGACGCCAGAGAAAAACATCAAAGTCGTGCAACGATGTCCACTACAGCTCCATCTGATGTATGTGTACCCAAACCCTCTCTCTCCCACCAATGACATGAAATTATACAGTAACGCTCACGACTCTAGTACTCCCGGCTGATAGTCATATCGTCCGTCTACACGGATCTGCAACCAACAGCTCTCTCTCCAGCTGTCCATTTGAGCCGGCGATTAGGATGTCGAGTCTTCCTGAAGCGCGAGGACCAGCAATTGGGCTTTGGTCCGCACGTACGAGGCGTCTACAACTCCATTAGCCAGATATCTCGTGAAGATCGGTGGAGAGGTGTGGTGGTATCGTCACTTGGTGAGGGCCTGATGTTCTCAACAGGATACTCCATCACTGATTGCCTGCATATCATTATGCGCGAGGAGCCGCATGGGCATCACGTTTGCTCCAGACGCAAGCCGTCATTATCGTGCCGGATCACATGCCCGCGGGCGAGATCCACGAACTCGAAGAACTTGGCTGTGTTGTTTTGCAACGGCCGGCGTGTGGCCCTATTACTCCACTGGCGTCGGCATGTCAACAGCAAGCTCTTTACATCAATCCGTTAAATGATTGCCACGTACTTGCCGGCATGGGAACGGTAGGTTTGGAGATACTGCAGCAAATCAAGGATGTTCAAAATCTGGAGGCCGTCTTTTGCAGTGCGAGAGCTGGGGGCGCACTGGAGGCTATTGGAATAGCTATTAAGCTATTTGCTCCTCAGGTTAAGATAATTGGGGTAGGTTTCCAGTCGTCAGCGGCAGCATCGTTACCATCTTTCTCGATATCAATAATAGACTCCATTGCGTCTCGGACGCCCGAAGGCACCAGTCCCAACTCTATCAATGGTTTGAATGTGCTGCAGGTGCAGAAGAACTGGCTCACGTTGTCTGAACAACTGGAGACTTCCGCCACTAGTAGCCATACTGAGGAGGAGGCAACGTCAGAAGCGACCCGTATCCATCCTAGCGTTGTGGACGAGATCATGTTCGTGGAGCCCTACGACATATCCCAGGCAATGGAAGATGTCTTTGTTGAGTTTCGGGTACTGATAGATGCGGACGGGTCCTTGGCCGTCGCTGGGTTGAAGCGCCACGCATTCTCAAAGGGGCTTGGAATGGAGACGCCATCGTCTATATAGGGAGTCATGGGTTCAGGTCAACACCACAACCATGGCCAATCTTTATGAAACCTATACCATTGGATAGAGCTTAAAGAGAGTAATCTAATGATGGTACTACCACTTGAAAATATTAAGAATTAGTAGAGTTATTCTAGGTAAAAGAAATATAATAGAAATTTAAAAGCAGTTAGTCTTCTAAAGTATACTAACTACTTTTAAATTTCTATTACATCTCTAGTTGAGGGCCATAGAATAAAGATATAAAGATAATAAATATATTAAAAAATAGAGAAAAATTAGCTAATAAGAATGGTCTATATACCATCTAAATCTAATAATAGGTAGTTAAGTAATCCATATAAGACTATTATTATTAAGAAATAGTTTAAAGGTTAATAGGGAACTATTAACTAGCTGCTATACCTTATAGCTTACCTAATCTAGACCTAAGTAAACACCACTAGAATTAGCTCTAGGAGATAGCTAATTAGCTATAACTAGATATTTATAAATATTAAGGATGACCTGGAGAGGTAAGTAATTACTCTAATAACTATATTATATATATATAGGTGGTGTTAGGCAGAAGAATTATAATAGGTAATTTTAACTATACTATAGTAAGAGATAGTAGTCATTAAGGCTAGTTAGACTTAATAAAGTAGATAAAGTAAATAACTATATAAATAGATAAATTACTAAACTAGACTAACTTAACTAACTTAACCTATTATACTAATTACACTAACTATACTAACTGCATTAACTAGACAAAGTAATTAGCTAATAAGGTAATTAAGTAGATGAACTATATAATCTAGACTAACTTAACTAACTAGATAAACTTAACTAACTAGATAAACTTAACTAACTTAATTAACTGCACTAACTGCACTAACTAAATAAAGTAATTAAATAGATAAACTATATAATCTAGACTAACTTAACTAACTTAACTAACTTAACTAACTTAACTAACTTAACTAACTATATTAACTACACTAACTACACTAACTACACCAACTGGATGAAGTGATTAACTAATAAAGTTATTAAGTAGATAAACTATATAACTAGATAATGTCACTACCCTGGGATCCGTCTCTGCTGTTCTCTGCTAGTCAACTACTTTGGGAACAAGATGATATAGTCCCTGGACTATATCCAATACTTGCCTGAGGCCTACTAACCAGGTAGCCTAATGATGCAATAATATAATGATCTAAACAGGATCAAGGACAACCAAAGGTAACATAAGAACAATAATAGTAGAGATAGAAGCAAGGCCTATTAAGTACATATACTTAATAGTAAAAGAGTAACTAACAAATCAGACTAGTGAACTTGTACTCAAGTAAATAATTTATATTAAACACAAAGAACTAAAATAAGAACTCTAGATATAATAGTAATGACCATTCCTATATAGTTCTCTATATTATAGCAGTGCTATGACATTTCATAGTAGTGCTCTGAACCATCAGATTACTGCTCTGTCCAATATAGCATCACTATGTTATCATTAGTTATATGACAGGGTAGCTATACTTAATACCATTTCTATAGGTCCTCCTTTTACCCCAGAAATGCGTGTCGCAGGAAATGGTTAGCCACCATTTCTCTATAGTTTTGCCTATCACATCCACCTTATAGTGCTAGTATTATAATATCATCTCCCCCCCTTCTAGTGTTTTGTCCCTGAAACTTGTTTATAAGGCTGACACTTCCTCTAGTAGGTCCTATTCCCTTCACAATGTTGTTTTTCTGTTATTACTGACTATGGCGTCTAAAGCCTCCATCTAAAAGAATAACTTAGCCTGAAAGATTGAAGATTAAGGTTTTATAATAGTTTTCTTGTGCACCCATTATGCTTATTTAGATAAGAAGTATATTAAATCTAAAGAATTTAATTGCTGTAGTAAATGTGTTAAAGAGGGTCACACCCATTGTATTAAGTTGAAACTATCTTTTACTAATGCTGAATGGCGTCGCCTTATCTAGGCTTAAAATATAATAAAGGAGGAAGAAGAGAAACTCCTTACTAAACTAATATATTTATAGAAATAAGAGCATCTTCTTTATTATTATATAAATGAGTTTATTGCCCATGAATTCAAAGAAGTTAAAGAACTTAAAAAATTAGAAGAATAAGAAAGATCTAAGAAAGAGGGACTAGTTAATTACTAGAGAGAGGATATAAGTAGCTCTGCTTACTTAGTTAACCCTCAGCTTACTGCTGTGGATAATACTACTTTCATGCAGTTAATAGATAATCCTTCCTTCTGGGCGAACATTGATCTTTCTATAAATAGTATTGCTATACCAGTTAATGGCAACCCATCAAGTTCTTAATAGGTTCCTATATATTCTCTGAGGTATCATAACCTTTCTATTTAATAAGATAATATGGTTTTCTGCTGATTCATTTATCGTCTAGGATTCATTTGACTTTGTATTCTTGTTCTATATCATTGTTAATCTCTATATTTTCAGTAATTTTTGTGTTTTCTAGCACTGGTTCCAATAATAAGATATAAAATACTAGATGAACTTTTAATATACTTTTTAGCAACCATAGTCTGTAGTTAACTAGTCCTATTTTTTCTTTAATTATAAAAGGTCCAATTTTCTAATGGTCCAGTTTCTGACTTAGTTATTTTATTTTAATATTTCTACATAGCAGGTAAACTTTCTCCCCCTTCTTAAGGTCTGGAGCACTCCTGTACTTCTTATCATAGTAAAGTACTATACAATAGTTCATGAATTTAATATCCCTTAACAGTTAAGTTTATAGGTAATCAACTATTATAAGCACTTCTTCTGCTTCCTCTAATACTGGTTCCTTATTTCATAGTTCTCTAATCAAAACGGGATTATACCTATAGT